TTTTGGAGCAACTCTTTTCTATGTTTTTTTTTTTTTTTTTTGGAACAATTATTGTTATGAGATTACAAACTTTGGGATAAAGGAATGAAGAATGAAAACAAAAGAAACATTTCAACCGCAAAATTAAAACTTAAATTAAAAAAGTTAGAGAAACTTGATTTTTTTTCTTTTTTTTTTTTCTTTTTTTTAGCAAATTCTTCAGATTCTTGTAACACTATATAATTTCATTGCCTGGTCATTTATTCAAAATCATACAAATACATTTCTCAAAAAATTTGCTGAATGTGCGCATTCAAGCTGTCACTGAAAGTTAAGAATTTCTGCACAGACGTGCGTAAAGGAAACCTCTTGTTCGGTTGGTCTGTCTGTCTGGCCAGCATGCTAGCAGTACGTCACAGTGACACTGTATGAATGTGATGGGGGGAGGGGCAGGAGGAAAGGAGAGCGGATGATGGAAGTGTTGTGAAGGCGACAGTGAAATGACGGGATTGTGAACCGTAAAGGAGTTTCCTAAAGTCTTTGTCCAGATAAAAATAAAAATGACCAAACAGGACCCTCTAATGCCTTGCAAAACTATAAATACTCCTTTAACTTTTTTTCATATTTCCTTAGATGCAACCCCAAACCTGGATGTAGTTTTTAGAGATTTAGATGCGATAAACCAACAGAAAAGCAGCGTATAACTGTGAAACGGAAGGAAAACAATACGTAGTTTTGAACTAGAAAATCTAACTTGTGAATATTTCAGCTCTGGCTGCATGTTTAATGCAGTTGCTCTGCAGGGAGATCGGCTCAAGTGTCTTGCAAGAAATAAAACTTATTAGTCAAGTTCCCTCTACTTTTCTCAATCCAGCTTCCCATGAACTCTGAGCCACTTCCCTCTCCATGCAATGAAATTACACCCCAACATCACAGTTACCATTATCCACAGGGGGAAATGTGTATGTGCAGTGTTAGTTTGCATAGAGCTAAATTTTGGTCTCATCCCAAATTAACCGTCTTCAACAAAGACTACCAGGGTATCTTATGGCTTTCTTTAAGCAATGGCTCTCTTCTCATTCCTCGACCATTAAATGTCAAATTTGCAGAATGGCAGCTAATATTTGTCCTGCTAAAAGTGTTTTCACCCGAACTGTGAATCTTGGTAGCTTTTCCAGAGTTACCATTACGCAGAAAGCTTGTTGTAACTGAGCCAGTTTGCTGCTTCTCTGATAGATGACATGATTTGGTAGGTTTGTGGGTGTGTTGTCCTCTTTTCTGTTTTCAGATATCTCGACTTTAAACTGCTCTGAAATTTTAACCTCGCACTGTCAGTTGTTGTCCTTGGTCTTCATGTCGCTCTCCGTTTACTTCACTTCTCTAACAAGCTCTGCACCGAGTAGCAACACGCTGTCGTTAAATCATGACAAGTTCATTATTTTTCTCATTAAGTCAGTTCTGTCGTAAATTGGCTCACTGGATTTTACTTGGGGGCATTAGCATAAAGCGGGTTAAATATAAATAGAAGCCACACTTTTCACATCAATATACAGAAAACAATTTAAAAATCTGGGTATCATTTTCTTTCCTCGTTACAATTATGCGCTACTCTCTATTGGTCTATTATATAAAGTCTCAATAAAATATTTTTTAAAGTTGGCTGTCGTGACAAAATGTGAAATAAATCAAGGGGGGTGAATACTTTTGCAAGGCACTGCATTTCTAATCCTCAAATGAAAGCTTATGGACCTTCTGCTTCATTAGCATTTTTATAACTCACCTACACCATGTTGTTAGCAACAGATATTAAATCTGAAAAAACAAAAACAAAAAAAACCGACTAGAGCAAATTAAGTTTAAATTGTGTCAAATTGTCAGCATCATCATTATCATTCTGTGTTTTCATAGGTACAAAAAGAAAAAAATAAAACTGGGGAGGAGGGTTTTGTTTAGTTTAGACACAGACTTCTGCCCAAGAATTCAGCATACAGATTGGTTTTAAAAAGGTCCATTGTTGGTGTGTGCCTGCCACATGTACACATATATATTTACACATATACATCCACACACACACACGCACGCACGCACACACACGCTCACTCACTCACTCACTCGTGACATTTTCGTTACTTGGATCCTTTCAAACTGTTTCCTAGTGCACACGGGGTTATATGCTTCCATCGTCTGAAAACAAACAAACCTTTTGGATAAAAGAAAAAAAAAAAGAATCTAGATTTCACTCAGTGATGCTTGACATTTTTAGCTCCTCTTTCTATAAAATCTTCCATTGCGACCGCAACGCTGGGTCATCCATTGCATGTACAAGAGTCGTTCCTCTGCCTCTAATGTGTGGATCTATGATGGACTAACCGTACAGAGCCAAAGTAACACAGAGGCTGGGGATTTGTGCATACAGCAAAGGCATCCTGCCGTGGCACAATGCTGAGATATGAACGAATCTTCCATCAGAGAACATAACGGTTACATATCGTTTGTTTTTAAAAAAATAAAAATAAAAATAAAAAAAAATTAAACCTCAACACACGTCTTAAGCAACCTGGTTCAATCTACAGCTGTCTTGTTGTAGAAAGCAAGACAGTGCAAGTTAAAAGCATTTTGTGCATAAGTTCTGTGTACTTGCCTGAAAATGAAGATAGACTGAACAGATAAATCATTTTTGTTTTGGCAAGTGATTTCCAGGGTGATTTAAAAAATAGAAAGAGAGAGAAAGAGAGAGAAAGAGAGAAATTACACAAATATAACGGAACACAATCAGGCAGAAAGAAAGGCAAGCCCCTGTGCTGTGGACACCCAACTCTGACCCCTTGAAACAGTTGTGTTGACGGGAGCCCAACCAGCTCCCTGCAGGCTGACACAGCACAGGCACTGACGGGTAAGCTGTGCATGTGTATGTTCGTCACCCCGATTCACCACAGAGGCTCCAGGCAAACGCCGGCTGAACCAGCATTGTATTAAGAGTTACAGTGACAGGCCTCGCTAATGGCAGGCTACACCAGTGTGTAGGACTTGGAGTAGGCTCCTGACCCCCCATCCCTCTGCTTCTGCAGTCTGCCTAATCCCGAAGAGCTGCTCTCCAGGAGAGAGTCTCTGGATCCTCCCATTTTGGAGGAGGAAGAAGAGGCACCTCCAGGGGTCCCCCCCGAGGTCCCTGCTGCCCCACCGCCAGAGGAAGATGATGCCCCTCCTGCAGCAGCGGTGGCGGCGGCGGCACTCTGAGCCGCAGAAGCAGAGGAGCTGGGCATGGTGAGAGTCCGCTGGGGCAGCGTGGAGCTGCTGGAGCTGGCAGACAAGCCTCCGCTCCCACTGCCTCCACCGCCGCCTCCCGTTGCTCCTCCAGAGGACGCCCCGGAGGAAGTGAGGTTTGACAGGCCGGAGTGGCCCATGGTCAGAGCCTGTTGCTTCGCAGAGTCCATGGTCACGTGACGGCCCTGGCTGTGGTACGCCCGCTGGGCTAGGCCACGAATAGAGGCTTCGCGTGGTGGAACAACTGGACATGGGTCATGGTGTTCTGACTGCTTTCGGAAAAAGGGATCGGACTTCATGTACAGGGGCAGGTTGCAGTAGTCGCCTGGAGAGAGAGAGAGAGAAAAAAAATAAAGCTCAAATTTAACTTCAAGATCTCGCTCAAAACAAAAGGCTATAAATGTTGAATTAAAAATTATCTGAAGAAAATTCAAAAGATTTTCAGCGGCAGATTATGTTTGATTTTGGATGCAAGACTTGCTGTGGACGAACTATTTTATTGGAGTACATAATTGGACCCTTGTCGATAGAAAAAAACCTTGCTGTTTGAAAAGGCTCTGCTCTGTTAATCATATGACGTTTCAAACAATGACTGGAACATTATACTGCATTTCTGAATGGTTTGACAAAACCATTTACTGTGTCTACAATTTTGGTTATATCTTTGCTTGGTATACAATCCCAAAAATCATAGCTTTACAATGATGTTTAACATGCATATGTACATGGAAAGGGTATCAAAACCCCCTGCATAGCATAGCATAGCATAGCATAGCATAGCATAGCATAGCGGGACATATTATTTTCACTTATGCATAGGAACTGTAAAATAAATGGGAAACATTATGCAGCGGCCACTTACTCTTGGCGCGGTGTGGAATGGGCACGGCTACATTCTTGCCACGATCGTAGTCTTGGGGTTTGGGCGGCGAGGCAGTGAAACGGCAGATGCCGGGCTCTGACGGTGTGCTCATAGACGTCATACTGTCTGCGTTGTCGTTGGTACCTGTGGTCATCTGATCAGACGAGCTGTCGGATATAAAGCACTCTGTAATCTCAAATTTGGCATGTTGCAGGTGTTCCTCCAGCTTTGCATGCTCGTAGGCTCTTGCCAGCTCTTCGTAGGTGGAGGAGGCGCTCTCGGTGGACACCATGCTGTTGCGCCCCTTGTCTGTGTGTGACATAAGAGGAAAGCACATTTTGTCCAGGATTTTTATGCACTCAAGCGCTCAAAAGTCACATCCTTCCTCCACTCCTCCGCACAGTTTATTTGGTACATGTTAATGGCTGTAAGTGTCATTTCACCCTTGTACCAACCTGTGTCCTGTGAGAGGCTGGCACTGTAGCTGTCACTCTCTGTGACAGTGATGCCATGCTGAGAACCAACTGTGCGCCAGTCTGAAGTGAGAGTGCGGGCTGGCGTCGACGCCTGACACTTGGTCAGAGTCCATTGACTGGAGTAGCGGTTCCTGATGCTGTGGGCTGACTTAACACTCTTCCTTGACACTGGATCTGGTGGCAAGCAGAAAAAAAACAACAAAAAAACCAAATAAATAAAAAATGAGACGCACATATGTACAGACAGAGTTTACAGTCAAGAAAATGGATGAACATTTACAGAAAAAAACAAAACAAAAAAAAACAGCGTAATATTTGTGAACCAATATTTGTCCCCAGTACCGTGACAAAAAGTTGATACGTGACAAGAAATTGAGCAGAAAAGCAGAAATTTTTTCACAGTCGATGTTTATACCAATTACTCTATGATAAATATGGCATTTGCACTAGAGTTTTCTGGTAAAAATGAACAGTGATGGAAAAGAACACATACTGGTTCCTGGTCTGATGTCAGACATGTCTATCAAAGGACCTGTGTTTTGGATGAGGGCAGGGTGATGGACAGAAACACCAGTGCAGAAGCTCTGAGGATTCCCAGTTTGGTTGAACTCTGTGTCTGTCACAGGAATAGTGGCCTTGTCATCTCCTACAACAGGTAAAATGAATTTAGTTCGTCCAACGCACAAAGTTCCTAGTAACTTGCTAGTAAATGTGAAGCATGCACAACCTTCTCATTGTTTTTCTTTTTTCTCTCACCGATTTGCTTGATGCCTTCTTTGTCCTCAATTAGCAGCTGCACTCTGGGGATGTCGATGTGTAGCCGTGGGCCCTGAGGAGGTCCTTTCACTGGCGTGTCAAAGCTGCGGTTGTTTTTACTAATTCAGAGAAACAAGATTAGCATACACGATCACCTGTGTCTTTCAGAAAACACATAAAGCTGACTTTCAGGGTAAATTAAAGTTTTTTCTTTATATAAAGCTAAATGAAATGTTGGAATCTGGAAACAAAATAATGATTCTCACCTGATGAGCATCTCTGCCAGGCTTTTGGCATCTAAGAGAAGAGGAAATATACATATAAATAATGATTATTTTATTTGTTAATATATTTACATAATAGCCACAAATCAGTGTGATTATTTTCTCTGGTTTCACGGGTCTTTTAGATGTAAATGTCTTAATTTTGTTCAAATGCACAATGGTGCAAACAACTACAAAATAGGGCCGTGACGATCAAAGTCTGTTGTTTTTGATACGGGATTTCAAGGAAGGACAGGACAAGCTAAACGAGTTGCAATTTTGATGAATTTATATCAGCTCTTTGTCCTGTTTAGCATGCCTTTTTCAGGTGTTTGTCACTCAGTGTAAAACTATGATTTATGATACCAGCATAATAAAACTCTGTTCGAGCTTCTGGCTTGGGATGGCTACACAAAGACAATAAGTGGCCTACTTCTGGCTTCCCCACTGAAATCTTTGCTTGACATGACCCTGTAAAAATATCTGATTTCCTGGATCTGTGTCCTAAAGCTGGATTCAATCTCAAAAACATCTTTGTCCATCTCCTACCAGCTGTTATTCTGAAGTCTTCAAAACCACCTACTCTGGAGTCATCTTATAAAGACTTCTCATCAGGCTTGGTGATAACACTCAGTAATATGAAAACTGTAGAATCTGCCACCACTAAAAGGTCAAAAACTACAGGTAAAATATTTAAGGTAAAAAACAAAAAAGAAATGGCGAAAGTGTGACAGCAGTATTTGAGCACTTTGAGATTGCTATGGCTAGCTGTTAGCTTCTAACTACCATATGCAGCTTATAGCCTGGGGCGGATTTCCTGTGGATTTTTCTTCTACCACCAGGGGACGCTTTAGCAGGAAGTGAATCATTGGAAGTCAAAATTGGAAATCAAAGAAGAAAGTGCTCATTTTCATTTAGAACAAGTACATGTTAGCAGCAGGCACGACGGGGAAATGCTTCCAAACTCATATGATACAGCTTTTAAGTTGAGGGCTATCGATCTGGCACTACAGGAGGGAAATAAAGCCGCTGCACGTAAACTCGACATGAACAAAACCATGGTTCGGCGTTGGAGACGCAGGGCTCCGACGAGAGCGTCGGAGATACCAGCGGCTTATACATGTACGTTTCCATTTTTTTTTTTTTTTTTTTTTTTTTAATTGTAGGTGCGGCTTATGTTGTGGTGCGCTCTATAGTCCAGAAAATACTAGGATTAGGACCTGCTTTAGGGTTTTCTATTAGCTCCAAACCGAAGGGCTATTTCAGTTTTTAATTAGTTTGATCACTATTTGATCATCTCCAGTTCAAAATGTAAAAAACTGAACTGGATAATCCTACACTGTCAAAACATTTTAAGATGCATGCAACGTGCAGTATATTCATTATTTGTGAAAACAGCAAACTAAGCAATGTGAAAACTTCCTGGCATAAAACCACCTTGGAATCAGTTACTGAATACTGAAATGGACTGAATAATACAATAACTGCAAATTCTGTGGTTTTTCTATATTTCTGAAAACATTTTATTCTGCCCCCCAAAAATATTGCTGAAATCCCACGAGAGGAACTCAATATTGCTGCAAAAATAATATTAAATTAAACTGCTAAGGTAAGATGTGAACTGCTTAGAACATTGTATCGGAATCTCACTCTGCTTTACTTTTATTGTGTTTATGCGTTTTCTCTTTTCTCACAGAGTCTCTTACCTCGGAGTCTCTTCAGCCTCTTCTCTTTGCGTTTCTTGCGAATGGCGACAAACAGCAGCGCAACCCCAAGAGTCACCAGAATCACAGGACAGCCGATCGAAAACAGTTTCTTCACATCATCGTTTTTTTCCAAGGGGGACTTGATGGGAGGAATGGTGCCTGCATACAACCAGGAGGAGATTGGCAATGGCTTCTTTGTGGCTGTAGTATTTTAGGTTGTATTGTTAAAATAAAATGTTGACCACCAAAGATGATCACTCAAAGCAAACAAAGAGAAAGAGTATCTACTCACTGCCATCGTAGTTTGGTGTTGAAAACTGAGAACTCTGGTTGCCACAGCCGGCACTGTTACATGCCTTCATCTTCAACTCATACCACGTGCCTTCACGTAGTTCTGCCAGAAACACATCTGAGGTGGCGTTGGTGCGGACATGTTGCCATGTCCACATACCTGTACAAACGCAAACTTTCATCTCCAGTTCGTTTTATTTTACTATGGGGAAAACTGTCAGTAAAGGCTGCACGATCTGGATAAATGTTGCATCCTTATAGATTTTTTTTTTTTTTAAATCAAGAATATATTTAGTAGTTTAAAAGTGAAGAACAAATGCCCCACCTTTTGGTCTGAATTCCAGTGTCATTGAGGTGATTGGACAGCCTCCGCTGGCCCAGCCCTGCAGGTTGAGGCGAGCGTGAGTGGAGTTGACGTAGGTGAAGATAGGCTGGTCCTTGTTGAACTGAGGTTCTGAAAAAGCAAAACACCAAGATGGATCAGTTTATATTTGTTTATTGGTATAAATATCCTCAGTTATTATGGCATAGAATGTACAATAGCATTGGTGGTAGATTAAGTATTTTTACAACTAAGAGAAATCTAAGAATCCAGTGCCTCATCCTCACCAAGTGGCCTTTCAGCGAACGTCGATAAGGGACTTGTCAAATACCAAACTTCAGCCAGTATCTTTCACAAGGTCTCTTGCTTTTGCTATGATATTTAGTCACCTATTTTGCATCACAACATGTTCATCTCCTGAACATCTCCTTGTCTCCATCCTCAAGTCCTACAGTCTGGGCATTCCTGTGATGTTTAAACTTTAGTGTAATAGTTTGAATACAAATGTGGCACCTTTAGAGATGAGGAATTTGTCGTCAAGGACGAACCAGACATGACGAGGTTATTTTTTTCTTCTTAATAACATACCTGATTTTTTATTTTATTTTTTTATTTCCCCCATGATGGATCCAAAGGAAGCTAAGATGTTGCTTAAAAATACATCCACAGTGCCCCTCTACTGCACTTCCCTCCAAGTCTGCACTCCATATCTATACTGTCTGACAGAACCTCGTTAATGGTATTCTTTTTAAAGATAACTTGTATAACTTTGATATTTAGTGCATCGTTATAACCTCCTTTAAAGTCACTGTGGATAAAAGCATCTGCGAAATGTAAAAACATAAATTAAGTAATCGAAACGGTTACGGCATCGTCATCTGGGTGTTCAGAAACTGTAAAATATAGCAATCTTGGTGAATCTCAACTTCTGGCTTTTACTAAAGAAATAAAAAAAATATCTCCATCTCATTATTCTGGCACAGAGAAATAATTTGTGGTCATGATAGCTGCTCCACAACAGGAAGTGTTTAATTTAATCTCAGACAGTAACAAAAAAAGGCTGTGTTTTTTTTAATACAATGCTAGTAATCATCTGGTGTCAACTACACAACTATATATATTCAGTTCTAATTAGTTTATTGATTATGTCACTGCAGAGTATTTGCAAACCTTGGCTCTGGTCAGTAAATTACACCTGTTTAATCGTCTCCTGCTCTCTTTTTTTTCCACATAAACTGGGTTTTATTCCCAGCAAAGCCGTTCACATATTTCCTCACTGAAGTTGTCAGAAAGAAAAATTAGTCCAACTTTGATAGAAAATGTGCCTATTAGGACGACATTTTTCTTAATCACGGCCACTGTCGCTGCTATATGAAACCGGTGTTTCTTGATACGACATCTAAGCTGTACTTGACGACACTTACTGTATCTAAGCAATGGTAAAAGAGCAAAGTCATAGGGACTGAATAAATTAGGCTGCAGTTTTACTCCTGTGCTCACCTCTGCTGAAAACCAACTATAACACTTTTAAGTTCAAAGTTCTCAAAAAAGTCCAGTAAATGTTACTGTGAATACCCGAGTGCTTATTTATGTTAATTATAATAAAGTTTGTTTAAAAATAAGTAGAACTTTAAGACTAAAGGTACATGCTAAATACATGATATCCCAGCTTTTAAATGGGATCTCCATTCTTTTTTTTTACCATGACATTGTTTCCTCTTTTATATGCCTGTTGTTAACGTTGCTGCAAATGTTTTAAATTCAGCTTTTTCTGCCCCTACCTCGCCCGTGGGTCTTTGCCTCAATGATCTCGCTGATGCGTCCGGCTCCAACGCTGTTCTTGGCAGCCAGCTTGACTTTATACCAGGTCCCACAGCGCAGGTTCTCCAGTTTAAACGAACGCTCTGATGAACTGATGAAAACGTCTTTCCATTCTTCTGTGTTATCTACAGAATACTGTAGCACAAAGCCTAGACGGAAAGAAAGACAAACACTCGTAATGATCCTTGTTCTTTTGCACCCGAGTCAAAGTGTACATCCACATGAACAACATAATAATTGAATGGGAAATTCTAACAGATTTGCTTAGAAATACATAGAAAAAGTAGGGGAATTAGTTATTCTGATCTGATTATTTTTACATCACAAACAACTGCATTTTATGAGGGGTGTGTGCAGTTTTAAGATCTGCTAACTACGATGACTTTTGAGTGCTTTGTTGCAGCCCCTTCCAAACGTGATGATGTTGATACCTTTACTGCCCACCAGATGGCAATGAAAGACAACCCTTTGCTTTCAGCGAAGTCCAAATAGACAGAAAGTGTTGCTGCTTTCCATCTACGCCGCCATTAGTTACCTACAAACCCAAAGCCTGGGATGGCGCTGACTGAGCATCTATGCAAATGCGGGTTTGCAATATGGTGACTGTTTTTATAATCAGCTTCCTTGCAGAGCCAGCTCCCTCCTGCTACGGGAGTATTTCTATCTATCCTCTGTCGGTCTTTGCCTCTTCTTCCTCTGTGTGCAATTATGCATATCTGAATGTGTCCACTCTGTATTTTAATCCTTTGTACTGTCTGCTTTCCCCTCATTTTCTTTTTAACAGATGGTGTGGCTGAGTCCGAAACGTCGCATTGGTTACTACGCAAAATTTGAGCTGCGTTTTGAAGTTTTAAAGTCTGCCACAGAACAGAATGGCACAGCTACAAAGCTGTAATAACGCAAGAAGACACCAACTTAAAACCGATTTTGAAATAATACCGATTTTGCCACCTTAAAGTATTCGTAAATCTAGTCCTCAGTACCTTTTCTTCATCATTCCTGTACGAACTGAACGGAAAACTCAGAACAAGCATAAATGTTTACTGTTGCCAATTTAGAATTAATGCAGAAATGTTTGTTTATGGGAACCTTGAGCATTGCCTTGCACAGATGGCCTTACAAGCAGGCAGGCATTCTGGTATTCACAAAAGACATACAGATGGGATTATGCATATATGCAGTACAGAACGATGTATGCAAATACCAGAATGTGGAGAGCACCATTATTTGAAATACAAAACTGCACGTCCAGCACACTGTTTTTATTGCTTTCCATTTGGCTGGCTGTGGCACATTGAATGCACAAGACTTTTTTTTTTTTTGTTTGTTTGTTTGCTTGTTTTTCTGAGGATTTCTTGCAGGTTGGATACTGGTATGTAAAAAAAAAAAGTGTCAGATTTGGGTATGATAAACACTCAATGAAATCACTTTTGAAATCTAATTTCTTTAAAGTTAATCTTTTATTATTATTATTATTATTAACAAATACTGCACAAAATTAAACCCTGGACAAAGTTATACACGTTAGAAAATGACCGCACAGCTGATGTTTGATGTGTCTTATAGGTAATAACTGCAGCATGAAATCAGACAGCTGAATCTGCAACGCTCCCACCGCCCCCCCATCCTGACAAATGGGATGAACAAAGACAGCAGCTGAAACTTCATTTGCATGCATGCCCATTCAGCCACACACACTGCAGCCTTCCACACAAAGAGATCACCAATAATACGATAATCAGATAGACACACAGTCAACAGGGAAGCATAAAAGCAAGACAACACTGAATGAATTGACAGATCAAAACGAACACTAAAAATGTGGCAGGTAACAAAAAAACAAACATCAAAAGCAAACAGTGATGTACAGAAAGAAGACGGTAAGAATTTAGTGGTGACTTTTTCAACAAATATGATCAAAAAGGTACTTATTAAGTAATTAAATTCATATATTGTACACAGTAGATTCATCAAACGGAGCAATACATTTCAAGGGTTTATTCCTGTTAATTTAAAGAATAGGGCTTGAAGGTAAAGAAAAACCAAAACGCAGTTTCTCAGAAAACTAGAATGTTACATAGCATCAATAAAACACTTAAATTGCAAAACTGTCAGCCTTCTGAACAGCATGTCTGTGTGCTGGACATTAAAGTGCCTCTGGAAAGTATTTACAGCTCTTTGATTTTCTCACTTTTTGTCATGTTGCAGCCTTGTTATTCAGGAGTGTATAAAGTCAGTCTTGAGATGTTTCTGCAGTTTAAACGGCGTGCACCTGTGGTCAATTCAGCTGATTGGACTTGTCTTGGAAAGGCACACCTCCCACAGTTGACAACAAGTCAGAGGTCAAACACCAAGCATAAAATCAAACAAACTGTCTATGAACCTCAGAGGCAGGTTTGTCTTGAGGCACGAATCTGGGGAAGGATCCAGAAATATTTCTGCGGTTTTGAAGGTCACAATGAGCTCAGTGGGCTCCATCGCTGGTAAATGGAAGAAGTTTGGGAAAAACCAGGACTCTTCCTAGAGCTGGCCGTACCGTAGAACAACCACTCCTTAACAAAAGGAGCATGATAAAGTATTTTTGAGTTCAATTGAATTGGAATTGAACTGAATTAGAAACCAGGCGCGATTCCATCACCAGACCACCAGTGAAGCATAGTAGTGGCAGAATCATGACATAGGGATATTTTATTCCTTTGAAATGAAGCTCTACGCAATGAAATTCACTTTCTGAGGTGACTGGCAAAATATATTGCTCCTTTATGCAAATTTACATTCTTTGAGATGTAACGGTAAACCAGGCCAGGGAAATGAGAAGGGGGAAAAGTACTCTGAAACTTATAAAATTGTAAGAGAAAAAAAATGTAAATCTACATAAAAAAAAAATTTCCAAACTACAACCAAAGTGAATTAAAACTAAAGGAATTAACTAAAACGGTAAGAGATGAGGGGGGAAAAAAAACAATAGAGAAATGGTCAAAAAAGAGAAAACAAACCTGAAGCTAGAAGTTCAAGCAACAAGAGATCCTAACATGAATACGTGAAAACGCACAGTAAAGTCACGTCTCATCTCTCTCTCTCACTAAGCCAGTCTGGTGTCTTGACTTGTCATGTCAGCTGAATTTATCTGATGTTGGAACAACACAAAGAAACCCTTCGTTTTACTACAGCAACTCACCTCTGATGGAGCTACCTCCATTGTCCCCTGGAATCCAGGCGAGGGTAATGGAGGAGGTGGAGGTGGTGGAAACGGTAAGGCGAGGCTGATCTGGAGGGACTGCGGAAGAGCGTAGAGAGTTCAGAGCTTATTCTTCCCTCCTCCGGCAGAATCATGGCTGCTGATGAATGGCTTGTTGAACAGATTCTTTTTCTTTTCTTTTTTTTCGTGAATGCCACTTGCTGCAGCTGAACCAATATTCTCATACCTTGCACCAAAAGGTTGACTATGATGGTGTCGAAGCCCAACGTGTTGGTGGCTGTGCAGGTGTAATAACCAGAGTCTTCAGCTTTGACGGAGCGCAGCACCAGCGTCCCATTGGCCAGAATGAGACGCTGTCCATCGAGAGACACTGGGATTGCTGTGTCCTCACTAACAGAAGTGAAGAAACAATTACTAAAGAACAGTGACAGATACACATAGTGCATGGGAGGGATGGTCACCTGTCTTTGGTCCATTTGATGGTAGGTGTTGGTTCACCTACGGAACTACAAGGCAGACGCACCTCCTTCATCCAGGGAGTGGTTACCGTACCTCCGAATGAAAGGATTTTGGCAGGGGCTGATCAAGGGAAATGGATTCAAATGAAAGAAATACATAAAATATATTTAAAGAAATGGCTTGAGGTGACTTGAATCTAACATACAAAAAGATGTGCGAATAGCTTTATTAAAAAAAGTCATCTCTTTTGTAAGCAATTGGTTTACTCAACTGTTTTAATTATTCTGCTGCCATTTCTCAATTAAAAGCACAAATAAGCTTGAAAAAAAAAGAAGTCATCTTTCATTTTGGTACCATAAACCCAAACATAAAAATATTTGCATATATTTACAAAGTTAAAATAAATTGCATATTAAAGAATAACTGTTTTTTTATTAGTTGGGCCACATTTATTGGTTCACCTGTTAATACTTTGTGCAGCCTTAATCTGGTAACTTTGTGTGGGATGTGTGAGCTAATAACTTTGATTAATATTGTCATTTATTAATTTAAGCACATTTCTTAATGTCCTTAATGTAATGGTTGCATTTTTTATAAGACATGTTTATTAAAAAAAATTATGCAGGTGTAATGAGTGATAAATTTATTTGTTTTACTTCAAGAATTTGTACACATCTCTACCGAGGTTACAACTGCATGTGGAGGGCTCCGCTACGATCAGCAAACAATTCTCTAAAATACTAAACACCCTATACGGGTCCCATCAATACAATGTCATTTTTAATATCATCAAATATATAAATCCCTGGATAAGTATAAATCGATGTCTTTTCTTTATTATTTGTTTGATGAGCAGACCCGTCTCCACGGATAGTATTTTTTATTTTATTTCCTGTGATTCATAAGAAAAGCAATTTGACTCAAATGTGATGTTATCCATAAAAAGAAATGATGATAGGAGAGGACAGATAGGGAGCATAGAGGACACAAAAAACATCCTCTCTGGTTGTCACATAACCTCTTTTTTTCAGTGCTACTCCACCACCTGCTCTTTCTTTTTCTTTCCCACACTTGGCGTCTAAATGGTTGTGCTCTAGTGCACTTATGTTAAGGTTAAATTAGGTATCGACTGTTCTAGCCTGGAGGACACTGATTTTTTTTTTTTTTTTTTTACAGCTGCTGATCAGATGAGCACTCACACCAGCACGCCAGCAAACCTTTGCCCTCAGAGGTCAGAAGGATGAGCGGATGAAGAAAACGGACAGTTCATTCATACAACTTTTTCCACCTTTGAACCCGAAAGCCTATTGATTAACAGTAACTGACACGCTCATTTTCTAAACACACCGCCTCCATCTTGTTTTGCTTGGGAGTTTTCTCCACTCCTGTTTAGTCATTTTCTCTTTCCCCTTTTGCCTTCCTCCTGTTGTCTTTCCTGCTGTCTGCCTCCCCTCCTGATCGTCTCCCTGGCTGGAGGCATTTTATCTGGTGCACTCTGAACTCCAAAATCAATAGCACACCTCTGTGAAGTCTTAACAGGCAGCAGCACAGAAAGAATCAAGAGAAAAAAAAAAAAAAAAAAAAAACCTGGATACAGTGAGCCGAAGAAGGGGCAAAGTGAGAAGAAGGTGAGTGATATCAAGAAAAAACATCCTTCAGGAATCGTTGCTTTTGTTTCTAACAAAGTCAGCAAGAGGTTTGAAGAGCAGCAACTACTCCAACTAAATGTGTCAGAAATTGCTTTTAACATGATTTTTTTTAAATCTTGTAAAAGCACCAGGTAATGACAACTTGTCTTTCAAAAGTACCACATCTGTTAATAATGGACGACATGGCTACATCATTTGAGAATCCTCTCCGAAACATGAATTACGTACGAGGCGATGATGTTTAAAACAGAGAAGCCCTTTAATTTAAAGAAAAAAATGAAGTTATTAAATTTTTCAGAATTGGGATTGAAAGAAAGCAATGGAGCAAGACCTCTGTCAGTATCAAGCTGGTACACAGATTAAAGTCCTTTCAACGAGATGCTGGAGAAAGTTCAGAATGAACAGAGTTTAAATTACGTGGTGGAGCACAGTTCAGTACTGACCCTCACTTTTTTGATGCTGAAAAGAAGGCTGCTACACTTTTCCTTAGATCTGAAGGAAAACAAACTTGGCTCTTTGGTAATATCTTTGGTTATGAATAACATGGACACTCATTTTCACAAGCTATAAGAAGCATGTATGTGAAGCAGGCAACAGAAGAAACAAATTACAAATATCAGATTTTTCTGTGTTAGTCTATAAACAGCAGAAAATACCTTTTTTTCCTAATTATTTTGTTATATAACCATTTGAAAACTAAGGCTAAATTTAGTTTATTACATTTTATTATTCACTAAATATCAAAATTAAAACAATTTTTTTTTTTAGAAAAAAAAACATTACTACAAATAAACTACTTTGTTATGCAATGTTAGCATCAGTCACCAACTTATTTTTCTGCTTTAAATAAAAGCAATAAAATCATTTAGGAAATTTTAGTTATATATTTGTGTAAATACTCTGATGCCTTGAAAATGAGTTATTTCTACTTACGATACCACTAAAATATTCCTACGTTGCTTGCCATTAGGTGGAACGTGTTGTGACTGAAATCTGTAAATATGTTTAGTCGTCGTCGTCATGGTGACGTAAAAGGGCTCACCCTTTGCAGCGGGCTCCACTGTAACTTTGTCGCTGATGTTACCGCGGCCGGCAGTGGTGACAGCAGCAGCCCAGATCAGGTACTGCTGCCGGTGGTTCAGGTGGGTGATGCGGTAAAGAAGAAGTTCTGGGTTGGCTTCATACTCACTTGGCAGCTGAAAGAAAGCAGATAAATCAAGAGGTCAAACATGATAGACAAATCTGGTGGCGTTAAAAAATGGTTACTTTGTTCTAATACTCTGGGACTGGTCTAGTAAAAAAAAAAAAAAAAAAAAGAGAGAAAATAATCGAGGCTTATTTTCAGAGATAAGTGGATCTATCGGAAAAGTGAGATGTGTAACTGGTTTTAGTCTCTCCTGAGCTTTAGGGTTCGTCTCTACTGGGGCGACTGGTTCTGTGGGAAGAGTAGCTGTCTGTATCTGAACAACACTGAGCCCCAAGTGGCTTACTGATCTCTGTATGTAGATATACAGCTTTAAATTAAATTGCTTGAAGTGGTTGGCATGACTAGAAAATGACAACAATTTAATATAATTTACCAATTAGGAAGTTTTGCACAATTAGATCTTCTCTGTTAGATTTATGTTTGAATTTGCATTCAGATACTGCATATATCCCACCTGGATCTCCTTGATAGTTTAACAGATTACCCTGTACATAGCTTTCCAGATTTTCATCTGACTCCCTGTCCCTGCTGAAGAAAATCGTCCCCGCAGCATAATAAGACCACCACCGTACTTAAATAATCAGATGACTTTTGAAGCCCGTTGATTTTACTCTAGATGACTGGAAACAAATACATGCCACCTTTCAGATTCTCATGGTAAAATTATTAGATCAACTTGAATAATTTTTCATCTATTTTGAATAATGAACAACTCTGTGTTGGTCTGTATGACATACAATCCCAGTAAGACACATTGCTGTTTGTGTAGCTTGACGAAATGCGATAAAGCTGAAGCGGTACGGAAACTTTCACAGGATACAGTAGATGTGATGTGGAGGACTGAGTGAACATCGTTGCTGTACGTTTTGTTTCGACTGTGTTGAAGTAGAACAGATAAAATGATGAGACAAGGTTATAGAGGTTTGGGGGCATGTTACACTTGTCATAAGGTAAAACTGTCTGAATGTATAAAGCTAGAAAAGTGGGTAGAGATGGGGAAAAAAAAAAGATGTGAAGGTTGGACTGGGGGAAGGGGAAACCCCCTTGCCCTTTCCTCCACCGTTCTCCTGGGAGGACAAACACAGATATGACAGAGCAAGACAACAGGGAACCGACTAATGAGTCAGTTGGAGATATCATGAACAGTCATATCTACAGAAGGGATCTTTGATGGAGAAGAGGCGAGGAGAGTCACATAAACAGAGAAGGAGACATGGCTATAAAAAAAACACACCAACACACATAGAGGAGGCACACAAATAGATGCGCACACAAAGTGGCACACACGACCTGGAGGTGGATATGTAATTGCAGTGTGTTTAACCCGGCCATGTGTCTGCTGTCTAGACATGTACGCATCACTGTCCCCTCAGCACACACACACACACGCACGCACAATCCCACATTCACAGAGAGAAAAATCACTATTTTTTCTTACTGCCAATCACGATTCTCCTACCCACCAATTATACCTGTATTCCCTCAACTCCTACTCCACACCTACTCTCCAGCTAACTCAGCCTTCTCCTGACACACACACACACACACACACACACACACACACACACACACACACACGCGCACGCAATCCAGATGAACAGACACACTTTCACACAGTCGTCCTTGGCCATTCAGTCCGTTTCTATGCTTTCATCTATGAATAGAGTCATAAAAAGAAAACCACATCACAAATGTAACACATTTGTGCACCGGCATCATTTCACATCTTCCACCAGCTAAATCACGTTTTACCACACCTCAGTGATTTAACACTAACTTACATTTCTGACAGACAGCAGCTTGATGAAAGGAAGGCTGCGATACAGGAGTCAAGTGGGTTGAAAAGTCGGAGAAAAAGTCACATGAGTAAGATCCGTGAAAGCTGCTGAGCTCGGATCTTTTAGTGCCGAGAGGTGGCCGGGACACCAGTTTGACCGGTAATGATGGTGACCAGTTGATTGGAAATACTGAAAAATAAGACCTCTTCCAATAAGCATCTATGACGTGGCAGCCACTGTTGAGTGTTGAGAGAGCAACTAAGTCAAAAAGAAAAGATAGTAATTTTCAGTTTTTCATTTGAAAGTAACATGGAGGAAGCACAAAAGGTATGAGAGCCGTTTCAACATTTGCTAACCATGTTTTAAATGTGAAAGTCACTTATATAAGATTCCAAATTAAACTTGCTTCATAAACTACACAACTTGGTCTGTTTTTAAATTCCAACATCCATCTTGTTTCCTGCTACAAATAATGGAAAAAAAAAAAAATTAAATGTTAATTTCTTACATTGTACTTCCTTGAGAGAATTTGGCATTGCCAGTACAAAGCTTTACAGAAACTGGCCATGCATTTCTGATTGGTGTATGTTCAGTAAATACAATGTTTTAATCAGATTTATGTCTTTTTTTTTTTTTTACTCCCACGAACAAGTCATCATTGTCAAAATGACTGAAATTTGTCTCTAATGTGTTCATTCCCTTTTGTCTGTGCCATTCTTATCTGGTTTCCCTGCCTCTTTATCCAATGCACCATCTCTTCCTTCCCTTCACCGCTGCTCATCCATCTCCTCATTTTCCTCTGTCACCACTTTTCCCTATTATTCCACTTATCTATGCATCTATCCACAGATAACCCCATGCGTTTTCAACAGTTTCCTCATAATCCCACCTCCCTTTAAATATTTCTCTGCACATTTGTCTCCATATCCTCTGGAGGAAAAAGGATGGATGGACGGATTGACACATGGAAGGAAGGATGATTGTACAGTGTAGGTGGGAAAATCTTGGGAGGAAGGATTGACAGAGTGTGCACTGCTGTAACGGATATTAAAATATTCCTCTAGCGTGGAGATAGCGGTGATCCGGGGAACGATAGAGCAAGATAATGAAAAGAGGAACAAAAGTACTCCCCGCGCCGAGTGTCTGACCCCCCCACCCCCCGTCCGTCCCTCCCTCTCTCCAGTCGCACTCATTTACATAGTAATCATCCCAAACTCTGCATGGGAGCTTGGGAGACAGAAAGAAAGGCCGAAAGAAAGAGATAGATGGATAGATGTGTAGATATAAAGAATGATTTGTGAGGGAGGGAGGTAAAGAACAAGATGGATTTATTTTTTTCTTGAAAGGTCCGCGGGGTGCACGCGTGTGCTTGGATGTGTATCGATGGCAGATGTATTTCTTGGTTTTGAATTCACACGGTCATAAAAAAACATTAAACGCATACTGTGTGTGAATGAAGCACTTTGTCCATGGCGTGATAAATTTCAGAGTGTTTTTCTACTTAAATGTGTGCATGTGTGTGTGTTTGCGTGCGTGGGAGTGTGTGTGTGTGTGAGAGAGAGAGAGATAGAAAGAGTGGGAGTGAGAGTGTGTGTTTGCTCTCGGCTTGTTTTCCACCCAGGTTGATGAACAGATGAGGTTGTCCTGGCAACGTGATGAGACGCAGATATGTAAATGAAGCTGGAGGGTGAGCTTGCATGCACACACACTGCAGTATGAGGGGAGCTAATTTCACACACACATCTTGCTGAGACTGCAGCAATAGGCCTCAGACACACACACACGCACACACACACACACGCACGCACGCTAACAGCGAAACACAGACACATGCATAGAAACTCAAACAACAAAAGCAGTACAGCCCTTAATTAAATGAAACTGCCACCATCCACACAACATACAGAATGCACAACAGAAGGTCTTTCTGTTTCATCCAAAAAAATAAAAAATAAAAATAAAAAATCTGTCCTTGCTCATTACTTATCCACATTAAAGCCTCCCTCTTACCAGTTTTTAATCATTTATCAGTACTAAAATCCACCACACCCCTATAGTAACTCACCGGTTGGCCGGATCCGGAGCTGGAGCAGTAGATGGTGTACTTGCGGATGATTCCATTTGGTTTGTGAGGGGGTAACCACGATATTACGACACTGCTGGCAGAGGAGGGCACTGCTTTAATGCCAGCTGGGGGTCCGGGATCTGAATCACACAACAACAAAAAGAAAAAAAAACAACAAAAAAAAAAACAATCATCCTCCTAAGACATTTGTTCCAAGTTAAAACGAACACTTTTAACCATCTTGATCAATGTTGTATATTAGTGGAGTAAAATAAAAGTTTGGAAAAACAATGTTTGAAAAACATTTATTTATGCAGTGGCAAAGTAAAAAGCTCAGCCACAATTACATGACTCATGTAATTGTGGCTGTAAAGACGTAAATGTGTTTTTTCAGAGTCAAAATGCTGCAGGTTTGATGGTTTTTCTGGTCTGAGTCTGCGCTGACCAATGGGCAGCTTAAGCCGCTCAAGACCTTAGAGATGATGGCGGACAACCTGAGAGCTCCCGCTCACAATCCTTAAAAGCACTGTTGATTGTTTGAAACAAGTTGGGTAGCAGTTCGTTGCAATCACTGACCATTAAAATCTTTAAGTAAAAATATTATATCGTCCAAAAGTCCTTGGTAAAATTGTGAATAATGCACCAAAATAATGTAATTGTCTCATCTCTCACCATCTTGAAACAGAGTTGTATAATGTTGCATGATTTTATTTCAAGGCTGTAAACTACTAGCCATTATACCAACATGTCAGAAGCTGTAACAGTGACAGTACCAACCTTTTACTTGTCAAAGGAGGAAAAATGGCTTTGTTAAATGCTTGGGTGTGAGGCAGCAGGAGTCTTATGGAGGGTTGTGTGGTCTTTTGCAGAGTTGGGATATTAGGAAGATAAATTATAATTAGCATTTTAATAATTAGTATTTCAGCTTGAAATGCTCCTCCCTAAATATCCTTTGGCCTTTTCACAAAATTATATCATATCAGCTCCAGCATGAAACCAATACTGCTGCAAAGATGAACATCTCATTAAAATGTCTTGGCCTTTATAAAAGGAGCTGGTCACGGCCTCAACAATGCATGCACATGCATTTGTGAAAAAGTGCCGGAAAACAAAATATTTTGTAAAAAATGAAATGCTGCTCCCACCCACCTCACACCTATCCACGCTGCTGTGTGACCAACGTCCCTGTTGAATAAAAGGCCTAACAGCTGTAGACCTACTTCTACCCTCCATGTTGCTTTGGTATATTAACTTACTCAGGCAGAAGAAAGAGGCATCTAAGGCCTTCGATGAAAGCGTTTTGTGAAAGTGGCTTCAAAATGTATAGAATATACAGAATTAAACATCAAAACAGTGTCGCTTAGACATCAGCAGAGACATTTTAGTAGTAAAATAGTAGATTAGTCTGAAATAAGATATGTTGGCTTTTGTAGAAACAAATAAGACATTTTTTTTGTTTTTTTTTTAAACCAAGTATTGTTTTCCAGCTCGTTTCACCACAGTTTTATTTTCTCTGGTATATTAATTTGTTGTTCCATTAATAACTGTAAACTTTCTTATCAACATGTATCCAAGTAAGATGTGACACCCGACTCTGCCAATATTCCAACATAACAGTTCCAGATATTTTACTTAAACAATGATTTACATTATAAACCAAATACTTTTCCTTGCTTCATTTTCTCCACAAAACCATCTTATGTTTTTGTCAATCTGCTGTTGAGCATCAGTGTTGTCCACAGGTGTCTTGCTGACAAGGATTCAAAAACAAACCTTTTGTTTTATACAAGAAAAGCCTTTAGTTGTGTCTTTGCTCTTGGCATGAGATTTGACCACATATGTAAAAAGTAACACTGGAAGTGAATTAATGGCAGAGATCGCACCAATAAACAAAAAGAAACATTCCAGTTAAATTAAGCTGTTATTTCTTTTCATTTTTATTAGCATTAGATGTGTAATCATTTTAATTTGGTTATCTTCAACTATTCTACATTTACAGCAACCAAACTTAAATGCAATTGTGAGATAAAAACCACAAAACTGCGAAAATGTAAGCTAAAAACTAAACAACAAATCAAAAAGAAAAGAGCCCTGGGTCTCCAGGACCTTACAAAATAAAACAGCATAAATAAATGGCCACGTTAAAAGTTCTTATGCCTTCTGTCCAGTGTGTTTGGGCATCCAAGAGACAGAGGCATAAGATGTCAGGCTGAGAACTGGCTGTTTGCACAATTTCATTGCAAACACTTTTCCATGTGTTACATACAGAACCGAAGGCGAAAGGAAGGGTTAAGCCGAGAGAGACAGATAACGTTTGTGAAGAGGTTGCCCCTGGACACAGTGTCAACACATATCAGGGGTAAAAAAGACAGACTCCGACAGACACACTCAAAGACTAAGAAAATACACACATTTGAAGAGCTCTTGCGCAGAGGCCAGCTCATAAAATGGAGATACGGCAAGGAAAAGAGAATAAAGGCCCTTTTTGAAATGACACTTCTTAGAATCTCTATTCCCCCTCTTCTCCCCCCATCTCTAGCGCTCCCTCATTTTCTCCATCTCGAGACGGCTGCCTCCTTCGCTGACTGGCCCCAGGGATGGAGAGGAGAGGCGGATACGGATGTAATCCACAGCCCGCCAGTGTAAGCACAAAATTAATTCTCTCTAAGCCACAAAGAATTAATCCCTTTCCTCTTGCTTCGTTGTGAGCTACTCGCACACAAACAATAACGAGCGGGGCACACATATGCAGCGATACGTGCACACCAACTCAAAGACTTGTCCACATGCAAAGACGGTTCTAACCCCCCAGACGCACACACATACCCACGTATTCACACACACCGACTGACACCCTTAGGGTTCTTTGCAGCACACACTTTTTGGCTTCTTAATTTTCATTAGCACTGGTAATGGCACATCAGAGCACAAAGAGGTTGTTAATCAGCAACCTCAGCCTTACAAAGACCCCTTACACCCGCTGGCTCCCTGCCTCCCACACTGCTGCCTAAACTGGGAGGAAAAATCCTTAAAGCTGCTTCAAAAAAAAAAAAACAACAAACAAAAAAAAAAACAATGCAGCGTCAAGGCAAATGAAACATTATTGTGAGTAATTTAATTACCTGGCTTATCTAAACTGATGCAGCGAATAAATGCAAACTTACAGTCTTCACGGGTTTGGATGTACAGGACGTTGCTCCGAACGCCGTCTCCGGCCTGGGTGAAGGCCAGAACCTGGATGCTGTAGTTGGTGAACTTCTCCAGGCCTTTGAGCTCCACCTGCTCCTTGGTGGTTGTAATGTTTTGCATTTCACCCCACTCTGGGAACAGGAATGGTGAAAGTCAAACTCTGAACCGAGGCGACAAATGATCACAGTTTTGAGTATTTACAAGCTTCTCCACACAGAAAGAGACACATTTTTATCTCTTACTTAAGAAACAGGATATTTCTTAAATTCAGAAATATAATATTATAAGCTTGTTTAGGTTTTTGGTATAGTGTACCAGATTTCTTTTATTAAGTCTTGTCAGTTCAGACTCCACTGATTTGTGTAATTTGCTTAATGACTAAACATCACCAAAAACTGAGATCAACTTAAAAACACAAAAATATAATTAAAATGAATTATTTTGACTGACAGTCGTACCTCCGTCTGGGAACACAGCCCAGAACACAACACGATATCCCTTCAATACACCATGGAGAGTCATTCTTGGAGGTTCAGCCCAGTTGATCACCGCCTCGTCTGACGTTACGGAGATGGCGCGTACGTTCTGAGGAGGCTGACTAGGCACTAAAGATGAGAGAGAAAGACGTACGTATTACTCACTTTAGCATATGTCGAAAAGCTTAACTAAAAATAACAGGTATTCACAAAAGGACTAAGTTGTTACTTTTCAAAACGAATAATTTATGGAGGAGTGACAATGGAGAATACATGGTTTTGTCAAAGGAATAAACTACCATACAGACGTGGTTGCACCTTTTCAGATTTCATACAGGTCTGTTTAAGCGGAAAGTTGACTACAGAAGTCTACACATATGCAGTTAATCAAAATGTCAATTATGTAATCATGAAATCTAAGTTTTAATTGAGTAAACCTGCTAACGACATGATAAAAGTACACAGCTAACCATAGTTGTTAAAGAGAACGTGAATCCATGTTGGCAGGTCAAAGCTTTACAAAAATCTAATTGTTTGTAAAATTGGATATTTTTACCTCAAACCTCTGTTCGGTGAATATTTAATTTAAACTACTGTCCCAGTCTTTGGTTTGTAGGAAGAAGCCATTGTTGGTACAGAGAGAACAAGCAACACATATTGAACGGCTCCTGGTGCAAATACGTAAAACAAAGTGTTCACTCAAATGCTTCAGAATGACAAAAAATACAATTTCACATCAAGAAAGGCAATATTGAATCACCCAAAACATTAAACATGGCTAATTTAAAGGATACCTCCACAAAATTTGGCAAGAAATCATTTTGATACATTTCCACATCCGACCTAGATTATGTAAAACAGAGTAGTGACTTATAAAACCACAACAACAAAACCCCGCCATGCTTCTGCTTTGATGTATAGGATCATCTCTCTTTCTCCTCACAAGCCCCACTCTGTCTCTTCTAGCCCAGGTGTCTTTGGTATTGGCTGCAACTGACCACCAGCCATTCAGGCTTTGAATTACTCCCACTGTTGAAGATGAACAGAAGTCAACTTGTGAGAGGAGTAAGGACAGGAAGAGAGGAAGAGAGTTGACTAAAAGACAGCATGCAATCAAAGAAGGAGACGGTGCCAAGTCCACCAGAGAATTTCTCTGCAGCTGGTGGAGAGAGTAAAGGAAGTGAGGAGGGGGGAGGATGGAGGAAGGGAGGCAGAAATAAACGAAGGCTAGAAAACAAAAACAGAGCTTTGCATTAATAGATCTTTGAAGCTAATGATAAATAATGAGGATGCATCAAAAGATAGCCCAATATCCATATTTAGACCTTGCACAGAGGCAAAGTAAGAATTAGAATGCAGGCAAAGAAAGTAGACGCCTAAAAACATCTAAGATGTGGCTTTTGCTTAGCTGCTCAACAGATTCATACGTCTGTTAGAATGATTAGAAGGAACAAAACAAGAAGAAGTGCAGATTTTTTTTTTTTTTTGGAAAACCCTGCTAATATATTGAAGGCCATTGTGGTCTAAATCCACAATAAGGACTAGATGGGGAAAAGAGACAGAATATAAATGGAGGAATTGAGGAGGAGAGTTAAAAGCAAAGGGGGTGAAAGATGAAAAGAGGGAGCAGAGAGACAAAGCACTCAGCTGTGGATAATTACAGCAGGAAGCCAGGAGAGGGAAAGAGAGAAAGACAGACAGAGAGACAAGCTAATTATAATTATTTTTAGTATGCTTGTTGGTATCATTATTATCATAATGGCCATCAATATCACTGTCGCCAGGGTTACAACCACAGGAAGGAACCAGGAGGGCTATGTCTCCTCTGGACCAATGAGGCTCAGCAACTGTGGACAATTATGCGACGCATGTGTTTGTGTGTACTCAAACGTTTTGTGCGTGACAAAGAAATCTGAGAATTGGATTAAAAATAAATGGAAATATATAGTGCTCTATATCATTCAGAGCAAATCCACGAGTATAAATAAAACCATCAAAAATTGTCTCCTTTGAAGCCTGAAAAAAAACAAAACATTGTTTTCTTTATGCATTCATGTGATTAGGGCTGAAACGATTCATCGAGTAACTCGAGTAACTCGATTACAAAAAATCCTCGAGGAAATTTATCTGCCTCGAAGCTTCGCTAAATTTATTGTATTGTAATAAGCAATGCTGTTAAATACGCAGCACACTGGTCTAGCCGGAGGGTTTTTGTGTTGCACAACGCTACCACTTCCGTTAGCGCCTGGAGCACATGTGCTAAGTTTGTAGCTATGGAGGTAACCGGAGAATGCTCAGAAGGAGAACCCCGAAAGCGACAAAAAATGTCAAAAGTTTGGGAACATTTTAGGCTAAACAGAAAGGACAACACAGCGCAATGCATCCACTGCAAAGCAGAATTGGCGTACCACAACAGCACGACATCAATGTTGCAGCATCTGAAGAGAAAACACCCGCTACATGCATCCAACTCGTACACGGTTGCCAACAGGTAACGTTTATGTTCTCTTTGCTAACTACGTTGTGTGATAATCTGCCATGTTATAGATGTAAATTGAGGCACATTATTTTGCTAACGTTACATCTACCGCTTAAACATAGCGGTTACTTAACCGGGTGTAGTGTAAATTGTATGTGAGGGTGGAACTGAGAGAAATTATGCAGGACTTAATGTAAGTTTGTTAATAAAAATACGCAGCAACAGATTACAGGCATAAGCTGAAAAGCATTTATTTATTTATTATTTATTAAGCTGGAGTATAGACATTTTTATAAGCATATTTGTGAGCCTGCCACTTTATTATTTGAATATAATTTAATATCTTAGTATAACTTTTCTTCAGGTTAAAGCAAACTACTGTTACAAGTAAACTTTCTGAACTACAAACATTTAACTGTTAGGGATGCTCAAAAAGGAGATATTGGACTGATCTGGACTAACTGGTGTTATTGCAGATTTGCCATTAGTTTATTTTATAAATTTTTTTTATCCGATTACTCGATTAATCGTAAGAATAATCGATAGATTACTCGATTACTAAAATATTCGTTTACAACAGCCCTACATGTGATGTTGCTTTTGTGGTTAAGAAAATATAATAAGCTTGTAATGGTAGATTCCTGACAATGACATATATTACAGTTTGGTTGTTTTGTAATGTTTTCAGGTATAAAATGTGGGACATTTTGTGAGTAAATTGTCTTTTTTAGCCAATAATTTTAAGTCATTTTCTATATTTCACTCTTTCTCTGCTCTTAGCTGGGCCATCTTTGGTAAAATGCTTCGGACAGACCATCAATCATTCAAACTGTAAGCACTCTATTTAATACTAGTATAACATTTAATTTACTGAAAACAGCAAAGCTGTAATATAGATGCAAAGCTGTATTAAGACAGAAAGAACATGAGTCTACCGTCTCTCATCTTCCTGTCTTGTTTTATACGAAGTCTAAGTAGATCAATGAGTTTTTACTCCCAAAATATCAATGTCAGTCTTTTTATGTGGCCAGGCAGAGTTAATATGAGCTGCTTTATTTCACATGATTGACTGTGTGTGTCTTTTATGTACTCATGTTCTTGTTTTAGTTGTGTGCTTTGTGCATTTTTGCATGGTTGCTTTTGTTGCTAGAAACTTAAAGAAAAAGTCAGTTTTACATTCTTTTAATAGACAATAAAAAGTCTTGTCTTATCTAATCTGAAACCCTATTTGAGATACTCTATCCAGCTTCTATTTGCAGTTTTAGTGGTGCCAGTGTCGGTTCTTCTGATCAGGATTGTGAAGAACTTAGTGTTTGAATGTACATTTAAAAGTGTTAGCACACACAAAATAGTGGCATCATGACATCTGTTTGCAGAAATACCAAAAATAAAAGTGACATCTGTGACGTTAAACAGTCTCCTTGGGGTTCGATCCTCGCCATAAATTCAGAATACTACTTTTATGAAGATATGTTTTTGATGACGGAAGCAAAACACTCCGAACTGGTTCTCTGGCTGTGGAAAATCAAGAACAGGCTCTTGCATCAGTCAAGGTTTAGCACTGTTACCGCTTTTGAGAATGACCTCAAATAAGGTGCAAGAAAGAATGTTAATGGATTAATGGAATGTTAATTTGATCAAATTTCTTGAACTATTGCACTAAAAGAAGCATTTTTAATGAGTCTATGCACAACAATCACAAGAATGGTTGGAATGTGCTATTGACAATGACACTTGCATACCTGACACACACATAAAAGATTTTCCAATGCTGTCCCCAACTGTGTAAAACCAGAAAACATGCCTTAGCAGCTCATTTAATCATTTGTTCACTCACTCAGAAATATTCTGTTTACCCCTCAGTAGTCAGGGGGCACAACAGCTTCTCCACATGTATTTACTGAGATCACTCAGTTTCCTGCAACGCACTATGCTGTGTCTTTGAGACTATCTGTGTCCTTGGTGCAGAAGCATTTGAATTCTAGCAGCACAGCATTTGTTGTTGGATAGAGAAGACGAGAGAGAATATAACAATTGTGGACTGCAAATCAGAGAACTTGACTTGACAGAGATTATTGTATGAAGAGAAAGCTAAAACAAGGGCAAAAAAATTGCAGTATATGTAGATCAGAGAAAAAAAAAGAAGAGAGGAGGTGATGAGATTCATAGTGCTGGCAGGTTAATGTTTATAATGATCCATGTTGCTTAACTTGTTTTACTACTGCTGCTCAACAAGAGATCTGAATCTCTATGATGAAACCTGATGTGCGTTATGTTTGTGGTCAACCTTACCATCCTCCAGTGTTGTTGCATTGATCTCTGAACTAGAAGGTCCTGTGCCTGCTCTGTTGAAGGCCTGGACAACCACACCGTACTGAGCAAACTTCTTCAGGTTGTCCAGGGTGTAGACCTCACTGTCCCCAGTGGCTTTCATCTCAACGATGCTGTACTGGCCGTTGCTGCCAGGGCCGTTCTCTCTGTACCCGATCTGGTAACCGCGGATAACCCCGTTCTGTAGCTCCTTTCTTGGAGCCTGCAGAGAAATGTAGCAAGAACAAAAAAAAAGTGTGTTTGTTAGTTATGGCATTTGGTGCCTCCAGCTGCTATTGGAAAATGATTTTGTCTGGTGCAGTGAGACCGAGATATTATAAAGGTTGGTGCTTTGAGCTTGCAACAAAGACACTTCTTGACTTGATCCATTTTGCAAAATGAATGCATCAACATACCCCTACTAATGCTACATTTGGTAACTTAACATTGAAAAGCAACTTTAACATAAAAAATCCTAACACTGGCATCCTGTGAATCAGACAAAAGATTTTACAGTTCTGGTGTTAGTTTTATAAATCATGACTTATGGCTCAGCACCACATTACAATAAAGATCTGTTGTTGTTGTATTAACTTTCCTGACCTCTCAGTCAGGTCTTCTGGTTCTGGGTTAGGGTTAGAACCAGGACCAAAGCAGCATTCAGCTTCTATGCACCACAAATCTGGAAAAAACTTCCAGAAAACTGCAAAATAGCTGAAAGACTGAGTTCCTCCAAATCAAGACTAAAAACTCACCTGTTTAGAGATACTTTGTACCATAAAAATGAAACGCTGATCAACATACTCGACGCGTATTGATGAATTTGATAATTTCACTTGCCAAAATGTAATGTTTGTCACTGGTTTCTCAATTGTCGACTGCATGTTGTTTTTGTGACTTTTTAATTTTCATTTTTGTGTTTTATGAAGTGCACATTTCAGGATTTTGTTGAAATAAACTTGATCGATTGATTAACTGAATAGAGAAGCTTGCTTACAGGAGCAAAACTATTAAGAAAGCAAGGCACATGTCGCATAAACTTGCCTTCCAGGTCACGCGGATACTTTGAGAGGTGACCGGCTGAAGGACGACATCCATTGGAGGACCATCAGGCTCTGTGCAGTGAGAGACAGAAAGTCAAAGTCTGCGTCATTAATTCCCATTAAAACACAGTTTAGGGTTTTACTACTTCTGCTACATCTTGTTTTAAAAAATAAAAAATTCGAACTAACATAAATGCAAAAGTAAAGATAATGCCGTTCAGAAACCTACGTGCTTCTTCGGTGCTGATGGTGAGCTCTTTACTGGCCTCGCTCTTGCCTATCGCGTTGTACGAGAACATACGGATACTGTAGACGGACGCAGGGTGGAGGTCTACTATGTTGGCCTGATTGTTTGTGGGAGATATGTTTCGAGTGGCATGCTTCAGCTCCCAAGTATCTGTCAGAACGAAAAATGAAATAAATTTAATTTCAGTAACCAACAGTTACTGTTAAATTTAAAAAAATGCTCCGTTTTGTCAACAAGCAGTCTAGTTGAAGTTACCCGTCTTGTTTTTGTATTCAATGTCATAGGAGGTGATGACGCTATTCCCATCAAATCTTTGTGTCCATCGGAGATTCATGCTACGATCTTTTACTTCTCGCACTTCCAGCTCTGGCGGGTCTGGAGGCTCTGGGAAATTTAAGGAGAATTTAAGAACAAAATAACACAAACACACCAACTGGTGCAACCAAAAGCGGGGAAGTGTTGGCAACAGTTTTTAATTTATGTGAAAATATTGACTTGAACGAATACCTTGCACAGTGAGCTGGATAAGGCCTCGTCCTTCTCCATAAGAGTTGATGGCATGACAGGAGAAGAAGACTGAATCTTCACGCTCTGCTGGCTTCAGCTGCAGAGAGAAATGCAGAAAGAGAAACGTCAAAGAGACAAAACGACCCGTTCACACGACTGGAATGTTGTGTTGGGAGTCTTCATGACGGTTTCTTCTGTTTCCGTTGCGCGTTTGTTAGAGACCTCTTAGGTGACACTGCATCACAACATCAGCTGAAATTATCAAGTCGTTGATGCCTGTCGTACATTTTGATTCACAATTTGCCATCCAGCTACTAGATCAAAGTTTCGAAGTTATGATGAATTATTTTCTAATTCTTAATTCATAATCCTTAAAGAACCCAACACAATATCAACCCACTGTCTAATAATTATTAAATACCTCTCTTCTCTTTACTGACGTTACCAATAATGCGAGTAGTGATTGTTTTAAAAATGTACTTCCAGTAGTTCTGTTTTTGTTGTTGTTTAGATGCAATTACTTTATTCAGAACAACCTGAATCCAGTTTGCTGTTATGGTACATTACAAGAAGATTGGTAACATTAAACTAAAAAGCAATATTAGTTAGGTGAAAAAACAGCAATATATCTATAAATTCAAGATTAAATATCTTTTTATACTAATACTGTGTGAACTGTATATAATTTTACATCTTTGAGATATTCGGGTGTGACTGGTCAGACACTCAGAGGCACTAGTATGCATTCTGATAGTTTAGGGGACTTTCACGAGGCACCACTAAGATTCACTATGTGTAGCCCAGCAAAGCAGACCTTCACCAGTTCACCGGTCCCACCAAGGTAAAACCTCTAAATAAAAACATATGTGGACAACAGGAAACGTGAAAAAAAAATTAAATAAGAGAAAGCTATTTGTCAAAGATGCGAGTAAAAAAAACAAACACACAGTTGTCTGATTTCACCAGCTAGACGCTCTGCTGTAAACAAATGTGTTTTACCTTGAGAGTAGACAACACCTCGTCTGTCTTTTCGTTGGGGCTTGTGGTTATGGAGTACCGGGGGTTGCGTTCTGGGTCAATCACCGTGTCACCCCTTTCCCAACGGATGATGATGGGCCATTCTCCTCTGGCTGTGCAGTTCAGCTCCTTCACATGACCCTTCTTGGCCATGGTGGTGTTGGGGTGACTGGTGATCATTGCTGGGACTAATGGGAGAGAGGAAATCGAGTGTAAGATGAAAGGAAGGTGTGGGCAAATGGGTAGAAGCAAAGGAAATCACTAAACAGATAGGGATGCTGGATGACAGTCAGAGATAAAGGAGGAACGAAAGAAAAGTCAAGAGTAAGTGGATACTAAGCAGAATTTAAGTGAAAAGAGAGAAGTGAAGGAGTGGAGAGAGAGGTGGCAGAGAAAGGAGGAGCTCAGAGTAACAGAGTTCCAATGCATTAGAGCAATGAAGAGCTGTGGTCATTGAGGTAAAGTCAATAAACCTCCTTTCTCATTCTCCAATAGTTAACATAAGGGGAGTAAGTGAATGAAGAGGCAAAACGATACACTCCACCTTTCGTGTACGATACACAAATCCCTCACATACTCAATCTTCTAAGTCCAACACTCTCTCTCACACACACACACACACACACCCACACACACACACACACACGCGCGCGCGCACAGTATCGATCCGACGAGGGTTCTGCTGTTTTGTTTTCATCACTTATTCATCCCACTCGCCGTCTTTTCCGCTTTTCCCTCTTCTCCGCTGAGCGAAACAGACAGAATTGAGGGAGGCAGAGGAGGGGAACGGTTTAATCAATAACACTAACACGAGAAGGAGAAAGGAGTGCACCGGAGAGAGCGGGGCAGCCCCGTGGATAGAAAAACATGTTGAGAGCAGTAGATGCAGTTATCTGCACCTTGTTTTACTGGATTGTGTGCGCGAGTGTCAAAAGCTGCCAGATATCAAGCTTAACGTCTCTCTTGCGAGAACAGCTGAATTGCAAGATCAATGCGCTGCAAGTTACGGAATACATTAGCCTTGGATGGTGCTGTACATGACAGTAATAACCTTTGTTTTTTTGGATTTATGAATGTGCGCACATATACTGTTTCCTTTTCATTTTTACACAGGGCTTGGAGGTTCCTGACAGGCAGAGCGGGATAGAGTCATTGATTACAGATAACGATCAAGCTCAAAGTCTTTTTGGCTGTCTCAACACAGATCCCATGAGTCAAAAGATCAATGGCTCAGTTATCGTCTCACTGTCTATCACAGGTTTGCAGACAACCTGCTCTTTTTTTCCCCCCCTCTGCTAATCGTCACCTTTGCTTCATCAATCCGAAAGTACCGCGAGCTAATTTATTGGCTTGACCTGGTTAGTGAGTGCAAGGATGCTAAAAAAGCAAAATCGGAGCATCCTAAATGTTCCATCTCCACTCCTACCTCGTTTCCCCTGTGTGCGTTTGTATACTCACTCTTAACAGTGAGGACCATACTCTTGCTGATGTCCGAGCCCACGCCATTGGAGGCCTGACAGAGGTAGAAACCTCGATCTTCCTCCAGGACATGTCTGATCAGCAGGGAGCCATTAGTCATGATCTGAATGCGGCCAGTCAGAGGAACCGGGTGGTACTGCTGTGGGTTTCCAATCCCAGCTGGACAAAAAGGGGAGAGCCAAACGGGGAACTTTATTGTGAAGTATTTTTCAGATGAACGTTGACAGAAGAATATGACACATGCACATCGGTGTGACAAGAGGTTTGTGTACCTAAAGCTCCTCTGGCGTGCTTCCACATGACCTTAGGAGGAGGGTATCCGTCAACAGAACAGTTCAAGATTGCCGATTTGCCATAGATGCCATCCTGGTTGTTGGGCTGCACAACAAATCGTGGAGGGACTGGAAAAATCATGAAGAAAAATTTACTTCAGTACAAGTCAAAAGCCAGTTAATTTCAATTCAGGTGAGTGTCAAAACTTTTGCCTTGAGTGTATTTGAGATTCTGTGCGAGTCACAAACACCATCATCTGCATTCATGCGCATAGGCTAAAAATAAAACTTGGCTATTTTCTTTTAACGTACTGCAAATTTCCCAGCTGCTTTCAGAGATGAGAAGTGAGGATGAGCCAGTTGTTGCAGGCCTGTTTTTACTGTGATTACAAGCTGATTTCATCCATGTACATGTATGTAGGACTGTTTAAATATCAAATGATTTTCCGTGTTGCTCGGCTTACAACACGGATGGCCTTCATCTGATCTGAAAATGTAGAAATTTAAAAGTGAATTCAAAACCTTGAAAACATGAGCGGTTTTACACGACGGAAATCCTTATGCTGACTCTGTTGGGAGTATCGACGCGCTACACCTTGATCTTGGAGGCCGAGATCACTCTGGCCACCATCTGTTGTAATGGATACATGAATGCTTGTAAGTGTAGTTTACTCCACTTCAAAAATTTTAACAATAATATTAGTATTTGGTGTGATGTGTGGCTCCACGAACTCACAATTTATGTGTGAAAGACATTAAGGCCAATGATTTAAAAAACCCCAAAAAACTCTAATTTATTCCAGATTTATTGTTTCTTTTTATTTCATCATTTATAAAAGGGAATTGGCAGTTATTTTACATTGATTTTAAATACTTACAAGATTTACAATTAATCTTTTTCACAACTAAAAGTGACTATACGAGGTAAAAACTGTTTTATTACAGACACATCCACGTTAGAGATGTTAAGATTAATCTCTTATCAGCCACAGGGTGAATAGCTGTTTGCGATGTTTTTTATTTCCCAGCTCTCCTGAAGCTAATTTTCTAATTATACCCAATATTTTTGTACTTCTAGCCCTCTCCTTTGCTTACCTGTAACTGTGAGCTGCCTCTCTGTACTGACAGTAGCAGCGTCGTTGCTGGCGATGCAGGTGTAGTTGCCGTTGTGTTTGAGCGACACTTTGGAGATCTGCAGTGAACTCATGAACTCCTTTGTGTCGATGGTGATCCCCGAGGAGGGCACGATCTCCTGGCCGTCCTTACGCCAGGTGATTCGTATGGGCATGTCTCCAGATGACACCACGCAGGCGATGTACATCAATTTACCGATGGAGGTTGGGGGAAAGTCAAACGGCTGGATCAGCGGGGGGACTAAAAGGGTCAGAGACAGAATAAATGAAAGAGAAAAGCCGAGGTAAAGGAATGAGAAGGATTTAGTTGAAGAAAAAGAGGAGGTGCAATAAAAAGGGAAAAAAGTCCTCTTCTTCTGACAACATCATTAATATGTCTCTTTCTCTGTTAATAAAGTAATCTAATACTAATGATGTTCTGTGTCCATCTTCTTGCCCTGATATCTTACAGATTAAACACTTCCATAGGCAAAAGTTGGGCAACTAACCCACTGCACCCTCCACAGTGGCCCTCACCAACTCCTCGACTCCAACCCACCCTGCCCTGCTCAAGCCAACCCATAATAGCTGCTCTAATTAGAGCACCATCCATAGGGGAGAAAAACCGTGTTGGCATGGATACCAGCTGAGGTGATGCTGATGATTTGAAGAGGGGGATGACGATGGGGGCTAGGTTCTCTGTGTTTCAGCAGAGACATCTGGGAGATTTTATCTGGGCCTCATTAACATTCATCTAATTAAATCAGAGGCATGATGGGCACAAATTCAAATAAACACATACCTGCATCAACAAACAGCAAGACGCGTGTGCATATGCACACACAAACAAGTGGTAGCCTGCTCCTAAACTTAACGTGCAGAGCAAAACAAGGAAGCAACAAAAATCTCACACGTCGAAGAGAACGAACACAACCCACACTCACACTTCACAACTTCCTGGAACAAACATGTTGTTCTGTTGCAGCTAAGGACAGCACGTAACATTAGGAAGAAAACAAAATATTCACAACACATACTTTTCATTTATACCAACGCGTGCAACGAATGAGGGGCACACACACTCGCAAAACTTATACAATAGAACTCCTGCTCTCTTCAATTGCCGAGTGGCTGAGAGCTTGCACTTGGCCTCTCTGCCCCCTAATCAGGGGTCATTAGAGGGAATGCACACAGCTTTCCTTTTTTCTTCTCATTCTGTTTCACTAAAACAGTCCTGCTTCCAACCATTCCAATAATCACTCTGTTTATAGCACTAAACCAAAGTAGATTAAAAAGGATCATAATTCCTCTTCACTGATTTGTTCTTTGTCACTGCTGTGAATGATAATCCCAACAACCAACCTGATTGACAAATCCTTGATAAAGCATTATGAAGTAGAAAGAACTTCAAGCATCCTGGAGCAGCACTGATTAACATATTCAAAGATGGCTTAACCTGAGACTGCGTTGAAGACAAGCACAGAACTGATTGCAAGTTGCCTCAGAGCCAAAGACAAAAGTGCACCATAACATAAAAGGTGAATGAAAGGTTTCAGCAGGCGGATCTGAGACTGTTGATCGTTTATCAAGTGAACAAGACTGAAGGACAATAATGATTCTTTTTCTAACTTCGCTCGGTGTTTCACTACGGGAATGGCCTCAGCGTGACCCAACTACGGAAGCTCCAATGACATCACGTCTGTCCGCGACAGACAGGTTGAGCCGTGACCGTGGCTCCACCCACCATCCAATATCACGGCCAACCTACCCCTCTCAACTCATTCTCGCTTTCTTCCCGTGTGAAGAACTACAACAAAGCTCCCTCAGCACATTCAGGCTAGCTTGGCTCTGCTTAACCGTTCTTAGGCGTTCCGTAAAGGAAGACGTCGCTGAAGGCAGTACCAGGACAGACCTGGACAGTGCTGGGTAAGTGGCTTTCTTTTTTTTCCGTTTGAAGCAGCTATCGCGTCGAGGCAGGCTGCTTTTATAGCTACTGTTTTAATTAACAGAGTAACTGTTGGCTAAGCTAACACGTAAAGGTGGGCTTGGTAGCTGCTTAGCGGTACATCGCTAGCATAAACAGTTGGTAAAGTTCAGCTAATGTGTCACGGTGAGCGGATTTTATCTTCAGTTTTATAGCTAGCGTATTACGACGAACTAATAAGCTTTCGGCATGGCTACGGCTCCCGCCCCCACCAAAGGGTCGGAACAGCGGATAAAGAGGGTGTATCCCGCTCGTGCCCTGCGTCATGCGGGGCCGTTATTTCGGGCAGGGACCCGCACCCTATGTGCATCGTTTGTATGGGCGCTAAACACGCTCAGGCGTCGCTGGCTGACCCTCAGGGGTACCAGCACTGCTCGTCGATGCCAGAAAAAAATCCTGGAAAGGCGGCTAAGAGTAGCTGTAGCCAACAGCCAGGACCCGTGCCTCTCATCTTCAGCTGTTGCGGCGGGTGAAATGCATCAACCGCGAGCCTCTAAGAGCTGGGCGGACATGATGGAGGAAGAGTCCTCGCCCATGCCCCCTCTGTTTGAGGGTCTCATGGGGAACGGGGAACTCCAAACAGGCTTGGAAGAAACGGAGGACAATAATTGATTTCAGAGGAACATTCTTTTTTTGACAATTCATTGGTGAAGGTAAAGTTAAATGAATAAACTCCAGAAAGCTGAAGCAAATTTGATGGGGTTTTCTGTTCCATACGATGCATTGTGAGGCTTTCAAGTGCTTAAAAATTACACATAAGTAATTACGTGTAGGCATTGTGTAAAATATTGTAAAACAAAACGATGCTATTAAATGTATATATTACATGTCATGTATGCATATATATGACATGTCATGCAAAATCAAATTTTTTAGCCCTTAAATAAAAATTTTAATTTGTTGTCCTCTCCCAGTGGAATGCTGATATATTTACATTCTTTTTGAGTCATAGTTTTCAGTCTGTTCATTTTTCTCCATTACATTTTCTTGTCTATTACATCAGTGCATTTGTTGTGCAAATGCTAAACAAGGGTATGGAATTCCGGCTAATCAGTTTTGCGAATCTCTTTCTTTACTTCATTTAAGTACATATAAAATGCTGTAAGATTGCAAAGGTAAACTGTCTTTGTACTTATGATGGGATTTGTCACATTAAACACATTGGAAACACAGCTCTAGTAGTGCATACATAGAAGTTGCAGCTAGAGTCACAATTATTCACACCGTTCCAAGAGAAGAAATATATTTTTTGAACAACTTATAACTATCCTCACATGAAAGTATTCACCACTCATGAGTATGTCACTTGAAAGTTCCAATAATCAAACTTAGCAGATAATTTAACTTCCCATGACTGTCAGAATCAACCAAATCAAACATCTGATTTAAAAATTAAGATGCTAACAAAAAATTATTTAGGATGCTACCTAAATGTAGCAGTGTCTAGACAACAAAATATTGTACTTATGTGTAGCAGCACATTGCATTTTGCACATCCAAATGGTCTATCCGAACTCCAACTGGATCACGTGTTCAAGCATAGATCATGTACAACCGAGGAAGTGTCCAGTTGTAGCGACAGACAACGTTCCACACCTCCTTTCAGTAAGTCAGAACCTGTGAAACAGTTATGTTCTGTAGCGTCATCTCTGTAACTGACCTTTGACGGTGACATAAATGGTTTGTGTGATGAATAGCTGTGGCTGGATCAGCACGCTGCACACATAGGCGCCCTCGTCCATGCCTTTCTGAACGTCGCTGAGCTTAAGCGTCCCATTCTCAAACACCACCTGGAGAAGTATCATGAATGTATTAGCATGCACTGATACGTCATCAATACATAGAGAAGAGTATGCTTTTGGAGTGTAGGAAAAATAAAAATAATTCCCTCATTTGTGTTGCATGCGTCGTGTTTTACGAGTTTAAAGTGGACCTCACCTGACGATGGTTGTCAGGCAGCAGAATTCCCTCCTTGTACCAGTTAATCGAGTAATAAGGATACCCAATTACTCTGCAGTTTATGAAAGTGTTTCTTCCTGCCACCGCTGTAATATTCTTCATAGGCCTAATCCTCGGAGGCCCTGATTTGGAGAAAGAGATAAATACAGATATGTGGGGAAAGAAAGAGAGGCACAATCAGAGAAAGAAAAAGAAAGAGGGGGAAAAAGAAGATCATTAGTTTATGGTGCCAATAGCAGGTCTTGGAATTTTGGGAATAATGCCGAAAGGGGAGGTGGAAAAGGAAGGGAGTTGGAGAGAGGGGAAAAAGACAGAAGTCAGAGAAAAAAAAAAGTATATAGAGGTTTAGAAAGAGATGGTGGTTTAAGACATCTTATGATTTTCAGGTAAAATGGCATTTTAATTCTGCAGCTGTATCGGAATACCTGAAGAAGGGTTATTCTAAAATATATCGCATAAAATTGTTATGAGAAGTGCCTGTTCCTCTATATCTACATAGATCAGAAGAAAGATTATCAATAAAGCTCGTATTTTTCTCATACTGGAGGGGAGATGAGATTTTATTTGAAGCTCATCATCAACAAAAACGGGAACTGACTATTAACTACAAAGACAATAAGCGAATGTAGGAAAACTTACATGTTTGTTTGTTTTTTCAAGTTTGTTTAAATATTTCTGGATTATTTGAAGGAAGTGGATCTATATCTATGCCTAAGAATAACAGTCTGTTAATCTTTGGTGACTGATTGGTCCTGAAAGGTGAGATACCTCCACAGCAACTGACAAAACAATTTTCAACATCTCGTATATTATTTTTTGTGACTCCCTGTTTTCAATGCACTGTTTCTCTTGAAAATACCAAAGTATATTTTCTGTGCTGTTTTATTGTCCATCTATGACTAATGTTATAAAAATACACAAGAATGAATTCTATGAAATTTGCTGGAGTCATCATCAAAGGAAAAAGTCACAAAATACTGTGATATATCTACAATAGTAAAAAAAAGTGCCCATGTTGAGCAAAATGCTTTTTAAAAAAAAAAAAAAAAAAAAAAAAACTTAATTTGACAGAAAACGTTTAGCATTTTTGGCAGCAATTGAGAGCCATCTCTCAGTCATTCGTCACTTCGTCTTTGACCTTCTCATCATTGTTCATCTTGTTTTTGCTTCTTCTGACACCCTCTCCTATACCCCTGCCATCTTTTGGTCTCATATTTTTTCTCTCCCTTTCCTCCTTCTCTCAGCATGTTCTGAGCTTTGAAGTCACAACTCTGACGAGTCAAAGATGTATTATTCAGGAGCTCCGTCACATATACGCACACACGGGCCCGTGCGAGCGCACACACTCGAGCTTAACATAAATGTGTTTTCGGCTACGTCTGTACGTTTCTGTGAAACTTGGTTGCTCAGTGAAAAGGATACTTTGAATAAAGCAGAATCATAGTGAGTGGGAAAGCATATTAGCATGATTGGGCTTTGTGAAGTCTGGTCGTAAGTATGGGTGTCAATGTATGTGTGGCCGCGCCATTTCTGACAGTTTGTGTAGCATGGATGACTAAAACTCTGGCACTGGAGCTCATTCTCACTTCAATAATCTTTCTGACATGTTTGCTTAGAGCAGACTTGCATGTCACAACTATACATATCAACGAAAGGACCAAGAAAAGAGACTGAGAGAAATTGAGAGAGAGAGACTGAGAGGGTGATGCAGCTTTGTCCATTGGCGTCATCCCATATCAGTGTCATCCCAGACAACAGTAACTTCACCCCTTCTGTCAGCAGAGTTTACAATCAGCTGCTCCACTTATAAGAAGCTGTCCTCTTTTAGTTTCATTCAATTTTCCTCGAGTACTTAATCATTTGTTTCCTTCTCATCTTGGGTTTCATGGGTGAATTTTCGATAGAGGCTTCTTAAATTGCTATGACTAGATGTATAGCTAATGTACAGTCTGCTTTTAAGTCATTTGAAGAATACATATGTGAGTAGTATGTGTACATGTGCATAGTGTGTATGCACCATTTTCTCATGTTACACACACAAACACACAGTGTAATGTACTTTATTGAGGCATAATTGTGAAGCAAAATGAGCCAGCACATTGTAAAAATATTTTTCACCGCAGCTAAAATTGCAAGTCCTTTGGGACTTTAACATATTTTCACACAACAAATTTCCACAAATTTGTGAAGTTCATAATTAGTTGATTCAATGTCAATGCATTCTCTTCCATGAGCTATAAATATCTGTAGCTCCACCAGGATTATCATTGTCCTCTTGGCTGCTTCTGTGATCCGTGCTGTCGTTCTGTAGCTTAGCGGTGTACATTGGCCGTATGTGTCTGAAATGTAACGTTTAAATCGGGCCTTAACATCCAACCTGAACTAAATAACTAATCAGAGGCCTGAGACCAAAGGTAGTTTAAAATTAATCCTGATCTCTGATTTTGCACTCTGCTGGTTTGTTAGTGTAACATCGTTTTTAGCTTTTGTTTTACATATTCCAGCTCAATTTTCTCACTTGTTGTGAATGCAGGGTGAACCAAGTGCAAATCTTCTGGGATATGTGATCGGGGCCCAACAGGATGGAGCCATGTGCACATGTACAGGCTAATAAACTTCTGCACCTTTCTTTCTTTCCTCACCAGGGTAACCTACTTTCTCTTCTATTTATACTATTAAAGCAGATTAACAAATCTTTATATTGTGCATTCTTGTTTAGATTTATCTGTGTTGTATGCTTATTAAAAATGCACCAAAGAAGCCCCAGCTCGATCATCAACCATATAACTTTAGCCCGACACGTACTGAATTTTGGGCTAAACTCCACGAAAAAGATTTGCAGTTCTGTCACTCTCTCCATTTTCTGATGTTGGATTAAACAGTGCTTATATGATGATTTAAAGTGTTTGTTCAAACAGATAGGTTGTGGAGGTATCTTAGTTTGAATTACGTATTCATCAACACTACTGTGACATATATATGTTCAGAGGTTTTGATTACATAAAAAAAAAGACAAAAAAGATTTCTTGTTTCTTCTGGAAGAAGAAACAAATCAAATTTTAGAAAGATGGTGAACAAAAATAAAAAGGTATGAAAACTAAAACTATAAAGAAGAGAAAAGACTCGCATACAGAGACAGAAATAGAGTAATAGGAGGGTACAGTAGAGGTTATTGGTCAGGGTAGGGAGGGGGTCAGGCTATGGGAAGCCTCTGTATGACTGATATTGAAAAGTAGACAGGCACCTCTTACGTTTATGCGCGCTTGGTACTCAGCACTACCAGCCGAGTTTCGTGCGGCGCACCGATACACTCCTCCATCACGAATCTGCGGGCTGCTGACGTTGACAAAGCTAACGGTGCTCCCGTCGGAGAGCGTGTACTGGCTGGATCTCACGCGCGACAGATCCCGAGCCACGGGCTCATCGTCCAGGGTCCAGGTGATGGTAGGCGGAGGGGCTCCTTTGGCAGCACACATCAGGGAAAACGGCTCACCAGGGACCACCACTCGTTCACTGAAGGAGGCGACAATACGGGGCGTACCATCTACGAAAAAACAATCATTAGGCAAAAATATAAGAAATAGGAAATCACCCAACAGCGGGTCTCGGTACTTTATTCCAGCTCCCATTTCTTCTAGGCCCTCAAAACACTTTGCCTGAACCATGAAGCAATTAGAAGAAAGTGCTTTGTGCTGTATATTTTGTGACATTTACCCACCAGCTAAGCGCTTCTAGGACTCTCTGTGGAAAGCCATGTGCAGTCCATATTTTTGTGGTTGTGTGGCACAGAAAGTAAAACACCCCGTAAGAGTTTAAGGCCAAACACAAAGTGATTAAAGAAAACAATGGATATGATTATGAACTCTTAGTTTTTTTTAGGTTTTTTTTAAAGTTCTTTTTCTTCTTTTACTCTGAGTTCAGCGTATAAAACAGCACCCCTATAAATCTACAATAAAAGTAAAATACAAATGATTAATATAACGATAATGACAATTGTAACAGTGAGTTTGTTAAAAAACAAATGGGGATTTTCCTCCTACACAAAAAAAAAAACGTTCAATTTTTCAATATCTTATGTGAGTTTAGGTTACTGGAACATAAATTGATCTTTTCATACATCTTTACCAGAGATGCTGGTAAAGACGCTGGATGTTTTGAACAGCAAAAAAAAAAAAAAAATCCTTTAATTTGTGCCTTCTCAAATCAATAAATGAACATATTAGCAATTAACCGCATTAGACATTCACCTATAAAGCAAAAGCCCAACAATCTGTTCAACATTTTTTTACCTTCCAGCAGTATGATGGAGAAGTCCTGGGCAGTCTGGCCCTTTCGTGAGGCAAAGCACTGGTACGCTCCAGAATGTCTTTTTTGTGCAGCAGAGATGAAGAGTGTCTCATTGTGTGCTCCTTGGATGGAAAAGTGCTGATCAGGCATCACAGGTTCTGTGTTACGGTACCAGGAAACAGTAAAGTGGGGGGAACCCTGGACGGCACAGGAGAGGATTACTGTACTGCTGATCCCCGTCTTGAGGTTCTTTGGAGACAAAGTGACCCGCAGTGGTTCTAGAGATGAGGGGGAAAAAATAGAAGACAATAGCGTAGATGGAGGCAAGTAAGTACCTACATATTGAAGGAACAAAAGTTGGTATATGTCAGCATCCCAGGCACAGGATGGAAATTTTCTTATGAGCTACACTGTGCTGGCTAAGCAACACAAATCATATTTTGGTGTGTATTTCTTGTCTATGTTTCAGTTTCTGTGTCTGTCTGCATGCGTGTGTGTGTTTGTGTGTGATTGAGATTGTGTGCTGAGCAGCAAGGAAAAACCCGAGACAGGAAGACAGAGAGGGAAAAAAAATGTCAGTGAGCAATAAAGCAGCTGGTGTGATGAGCTGGGAGCTGCTGAATGTGTGTGAGAGCATGTGTGTATGTGTGTCACTGCATCTGCATGGGTAAGATGGGTATTTTTTTTCTCACAGAATGAGTGCAAGTATCTGTGACTCCAAGTCTGAATGTCCTACCATATATGATCTGTCACTTAAGGTTTGAGGTTTGCACTAAAATGTGGTCACTCTGCTCCAAAAAAGTGTATAAAATACAAAATAAGAAGTGAGTTTTGAGCAACTGTGGGGTGTGGGACTTGCTGACTGGCTTGCTTTTATCCTCAATAAAACAAAAAGAGTCTCAAATAATAAGTCTAACTTAGGAGCTTTAAGTTTACATAGTTTTACCCAAGCCTTACAATGAGACGAAAGTCAAAATAGTTTTAAGACATATCTACCCTGACTACCTACCTATAACATTGAGATGACCCGTCACCTCTTTGGAGCCAAAGCTGTTCGTGACTTCACAAATGTAGTTGCCACTGTCCTCAAGTCTTAAGTCGGAGATAGTGAGGCCAGTGATGCGGCGCGTCCAGCGAGAGTCAGCTGGCAGTGGTCGACCGTCCTTCAACCATCGGATGGTGGGATTTGGATATCCGGAGGCAATGCAGGGCAGCTCCACACTGTGTCCAACCTGCATCTCACCAGACTGGAAACTATCCAGCACAGATGGGGGGGACTCCTTAGGGTCTAAAGGTGATCACAGAAATGTGATTTTGATTCAGATTAATGCGCTCGTCAAAACATTCTGAGACCAAAAGTAACTAACGAAAAGGAAAACAAGTTTCTTTACCTACCCTTTACAGAGAGCCTGGCTCCATTACTCTGGCGGGTTTCTCCACTGTACTTGTGCTTTGTGATGCAGCGGTAGGTGGACAAAGCATCTTCCTTCTGCACTTCTGAGATATATAAAGCGCCAAATGAGGTCAGGAAGAAACGATTACCTGTAAAAGAGTGGAGAAGTACAGGCTGGTCATTTTGGTATACTGTCAAAGGTAATTCCTGCATGCAGTGTGCCCTGCGTCACTCCTTTGACCTGTAACCATGGAGACATACAACCACTTCAGTGATGAAACCCATTCTGCAAAAACATGCCTTATGTGTCGTTGCTTATAAAAACATTAAAAACAAAAAAAAAATTGAGGATAACTGATCTAGAAGGATGAAAAGCTAGATTTTTTCACATACAGATTTCACAAAAGAAATGTTTAAAAGCATCTGTAATTGAAGAAACACTATATTGTGGTAATTTATAGGACTTTTCACACTCTTCTCAGTATACTTGAACAGGAGTCCTTATATCCAGGCCTCTAGGGTCAGTGTCCTGCAGCTTTTAGATGTGTCCCCAGTCCAGCCTCCTCAGTATGCAGTCAGTTTCTCCGGAGTCCTGCTAATAACATCAGTATGCGACGTAGGCGTGTTGAAGCAGAAACACATCTAAACGTTACAAGACACTGGGTTTCAAAGCCTAGATTTAAAGACCCCTGCACTAGGAGGTGGTTGTTTCACGTCAAAGAAGCATTGAAAAGGCTTGTTTTGTTTTCTGACATTAAAGTTTTCAAAAATGATCTTAAAGAATAAGAATTCCAGATGAAGTTATTCTGTTGAAGTCTACGATTTAAACTTTCAACTAAAGATGATCAAATGCTGCCCAGACCGCTTGAAAGCCTGTCACTCTCCAGTTTGGCACGGACTAAAACGTTTTGAATCAGACACCAAGCTTAGCGTCATTAGCCACCTTAGGTGTGGAACAAGGGTTGTTGAGGCTTCCCACTGTGTCTTCTGTAGTTTTTGACAAAGGAAATCAAACTAAATTGTTTTAAATATTACACAAGCACACACACAAGTTATTATTTCTACCCTTATTAGGACTTGGCTTCCTTTCATTTTTGTCACCGTGTTTATGCCTGACCTATCCAATTTGTTGGAAAAAATTGGCCGTAAAAGTTGAGAAACGATAAAACACGCTAGCGGACATCAGAATGGTTGTGAATGATCCTTTGCATGCATCTGTGAGTATTTTTACAGTTATTTTTTCCTTAATGGCATACATGACTGTCAGCCAGAGCACTTACAATCATAAAGTTCACACACATGTGTTTTCATGTGAGTCAGACTGTTGTGCTGAGTGCTAAGCAACGTAAGCTGTAATTTCAAAGCCTGCCCTTTTGTTCCAACCTGGGTATTATGCCTTACAGGATAATATGCACTTGGTGAACGGAGCCCTGTGTAACACATTGCTACACCCTTGTCACAACATGCCTGAAGAAAGAAAGACGGAGCACGAAGGGGGTGATCGGGGAGGAGGGGAGCAAGAAATCCAGAGACTATTACAAATGAAGACAAAGTAAAGCAGCACAGAGGACATAAATGAAAATAGGCTTGTCAAGAGACAATGTGAAGGAAACTTACTTCACCACTTATCCATCAGTTTTATTCTCCTCTCAGTGTTTTTATCAATACAAAACTAAAACAAGTGGGGAAAAAAATCTGCATCAGGAATCTTACACATTTACGACCAGTCAATTCAAAACATGCTGCCCACAACAAAGGTCACAAAAGTTTTACTTTGATTAGTTTATTGAATTATCATTTTGTGATCAATCCCTAATTTGCTATCCCAAACTAATATCACAAATTAAGCACGACATATGATTTCGGTTGATTTGGATCGACACTTAAGAGATTTCTATCAATATCCTGCAGCAAGTCACATTTAATACATGTTGTCATAACATTCTACACTTTTCAGGTTTTCAGTTTCAAATTTTCTTCGACTCCCCAGAATTAGAACCAAATACGGAGAAGCAGCATTAGGTTTTTATGCTCCTTTGATCTGGAACAAATATTCAGAAAACTGCAGAACTGCTGAAACACCAAATACCTGGCACATTTGGTTAAAGCCGTTTCCTGCACCTCTCACTTTCTGGCTGGAATCTTGACCAGTCATATTATCAGAAATGGTTGGATATCATCAATCGGTTGGTTTCCTGACACGGATCAGGCTTTGAATAAAGGATATCTGTGCCATTCCAGTTTGGCATGAACCTGTTTTATTTGTTTCAAAACCATTTTTGATGTGCGTTTGGAATAATTTTCCTGTTCAAACATTCATTTGCATCCCTCTGATGCAAACTATGGCCATTGAAATAAACTGGTCAGGATGTTTAGGAACATCTTTGGAACCATGTTGACCAAAACCCGTCATAAACCAGGAACTTCTGGAACATGTTTAACATTAACATGGACTCAACGAGTGTCAGGACCAGCAAAAAAAATGACATCTTCAAGCTCGACCAAAAGATCGAGACCCTAAAAGTCTTCTGGAGAAAAGCTTTATGTTCAGTTAAGAAACACATTAATCTATTCGGAAATAATAATAAAAATAATATTTGAAGGAGTTGAGGTCTGTCAAACACTTGCCCGGCTTTTAAACGTGGCGGTGGTAACATGACGATGACGCCTACTTTGCATCCAGTGGCATCAGTCCACTGCAAAAAGTAAATGACGATGGATGACTACCTGCACTTTCTTCAGCTTCACCTCAAATCAACGACTGAACAGTTTCTTTACTGTTTATTTTTTTTAAAAATCAGTTCTGTTTTTGACATAACCAGTTCTGTTAAACTGGTTAGACTTTTGAATTGACAGGAAGTGAGCTCTGAACTACAGATCCTCTCACAGAGCGCTTTGAGCAAAAGTGGTTCTACGAAAGGGAACCTTACGATTTCAATTTAAATATCTGCTGTTACCCTGCAATCTCTATACAATCGCTTAATGGTGTAGATGCAAATCTGTTTAAACACTTAAAAATCAATGATAATTGGAGTTTGATACAACAGGACAAGGTTTCCAAATACAGACAAAAACTGGAAAAAGCCAGGTCAGTTTCTAGTGTGAACCCAACCTCAGCTGCATTACAAACTTGTTGGTATCAGGGAACTCTTTTAATTGAGTGATAGGCTTACTGAGAAGTTTTATTCAATAAAAACAAAATACGTCATTGTCTATATAAATAAACCTTGATTCACAGATTTCCATAATTTATTGCCCCATGTCTGCTCCTATTTGTGGTCTTTTGGTTTCCTGTCCCTCCCTCATTCTGCCTTTTTTTTTTTTTTTTTGGCACAACTTGTATTTAATTTCTAGTCACCGCCTATCCTCCTGCTGTCTACAGAGATGAGACACACCTAAAAACAGTGGAGAGGGTGCAGGCAGGGATAAAGGGAGGCAGCAGTGAAGAGGAAGGGTCTGAGGGCCTACAGGGAGGAGGATGGCAGATGGAGATTGATGGAGGGAGAGATGAGAAGATAAAGAGAAACATGCCACTGGGAGTGACAGAGGAGGGAGTGAGAGTGATGAGGGGCCTACAGGCCTGAGAGCTGTACACAGCTAAAAACAATTCTACGTCTTTCTCCATCTCGCCCTCCGCTCGCAAACCTCTCCTCGTGGGAGAGATCAATTCTCGTCTAGTCTGCCTACGCCTCCAGGAGTAGGCTGCTGTGGTTGAGTGTGTGTTTGTATGTGTTCCTGCATGTGTTTTTGTGTTTATTTTATTTATTTATTTTGCTGTCAGAGGAAGGATGGGAATTTTGAAGTCTATCTCACACCCATGGGAGTTGCACAATCACTTCACTTCCTCCTTATTTTTTCAAAAATATTTTCAGTTCCTTTAGTTCCCTTTTCGATTCTGCGTGCCGCCCTACAGCCCTCCTTCTGCCCTCTACCCATTCCCCCCTCCCCACCCCAACATTTACAGTGCTCTTCTTCCCCGTCTTTCACGGGGGCTGGGGGTCTGTGAGTAATGGAATCAGTTCAGCTGATCTGCCTGAGGCAGGAAGTCATGCCAGGAGCAGGAGCCTCGGCTCGATCTTTGCACATTTTCTGGAAATCCACAGACATGCATGAAAAATAACGAGACAGAGGAACAGGAATGGAGAAGAAAGGATCATGGGGCCCTGGAGTATCAATTGTCTTCCACAAAGTTTCTCCAGAGAGAGGACACCGCTCTTCCTAAATATTGAGAGGTGATTAAGAAAAGTGCCGCTAAATGTGCACCGTGTACGGCTGCAATTATTTATTTATTTTTTTTTAACAAATTATTAAGTAGGATAAATAAAAATAGAAGTAATATAAGGAGCCAGAAAGAAAAAGAAAAATCTTTAAAGAAATGTATTCACCAAGAAGAATGGACAAACCCCCAGATAAGAAAACTGTGCATATTTTAAAACGTTAACTAGACGACAGACGTAAGGTAAAGATGGAAATGGATAAGAACAGAAGATGTACGCAAGAAACAGTCATTCAGTGGCAAACTGAGCTGAAAAGGAAATGGCGTAAGTACCGGGGGATTGTTCTTGGTGCTGCCATGCAAATGAGAGCGGCGCTGCAGCTATGCTAACTAACAGCAATTTACACTGTTGGACTCATCACTTATTAATGCTCCACAGCTCTCCCCTCTCTTCTCTTCCCCCCACTTCCCTCCCATCTCTTTCTCTTTACCCATTCTCCCTCTCTCGTGCTCTCGCCAGGATCTCTCTTTTTTGTTCGCTCTTTCGCTCGCTGTTGCTAGGGCCTGGGCACTCACGTGACAGCAGCTGGGTAGGGGGCGCTGCAGTGGCACACGACAACGAGGGCAAGTGTGCATTTTTATGCACTTAGCACACATGCACGTGTGTGCGGCAGAGTAACCTTCATTAGAGGTAAAAAAGGAATCAGCCATTTAAATGAAGGAGATGTAAATCAGAGGAGAGGAACTGCTGAATGGATCTGTAACTGATTCGCGTGCCCAGACCTTAGGCCACAGATGGGGCTTGCCGCATCATTTGTTGCGTAGTGCCACTTTGTTTTGCACTCTTGACTTCTAAAACGCGTCCTGGAGATCGCCATTTGTGTTACTGTCAAAGTTTGCCTTTCATAGTTCGGCTCCAAAGTGACCACGGGT